GGTATTTTTGCTCGCTTTTGTCGCCGCAGAGCAGTGGTGTGTCGCTTGGGGAAAACATATCCGTCGCGCATGTTTTTTTTTGCGAGAAGGTTGCCATACCTTGTACCACTTGTGATTCTCCGCTCAGACTAAGCATGAATCCGAATTCTTGTGTCAAAAGGGAGGCGAGAGAAGGAGTAGAAGGTCCCAAGGACGATGACTGATCGAGAGTCGATCAGTGTATTATGTGAGATCTAAAGTGCATCAAAGAGATGGCCTCTTGAAACAACATGGACAAGACAAACAGCAGAAAGTGTCAACAAAGCCGTAGAGCTAGATGACTGCAAAGTTATTGTTCGCCCTTAACAGTGGCTGAACTGACCTCAACAAATTCTGTCGAAAAAATATTCTGCCATCTGTGTCCGAGTGTATTTCAACATGGCCTCTAATTTATGGTTGGCAAAACACATGAATGATGAAGAGGACTAGTTGAGGCGAGATGGTCGTTGATTAAACGTTGATAAGACACCGCCTTTGAGGCTGGCTTACTGTGGGATTTTGCTGCCGACAACTGGAAACAAGCAGTTACGAGTGCAGACTGATTGGAAATATGTAATTGTTCACCGGCTGGTCAAGCTTCTGGAATTGCCCGTTGAATGTTTGAAGCTGTCGAAGCCGCAGGACATGTTTAATGCTGCTGGAACAAGCCAATGCATTTTAGCACATCCATCAGCAAGGATACAGGCTTGCTCAACCAACAACAGCATTTAAATAAATGAGTCCGTTGATACCCGTATCTCTGTCGTAACCCCAACGAGGCCGTAACGTGTCTCCAAGCAGACTATAAGAGAGGCTTTCATCCCCTGAACAAAATTAAATCAAAACTGATTCTTCCCCTGTCATAAAATGGATACTGCAAGGAACGTACAGGACCAAAACAGTGAAGGAGATCATGAGCCGAGTGGGCTTCCAATCCAGGTTGATGAAAGCCACCTAAAGGATGCTTCTGATCCCAAACCACGACAGGTAAGCCAGATGCATCCTATACAGTATTATATCTCGTGGCTGACCACTAGAAATTTCTACCCGCAGCTGGATACCAGCCAGAAAGAAACTCTGTTGATCGAGCAATTTCAACCCATCTTGGCAACGCTAGCAAACGTTGAACGCGAGGATGCGAAACTGGGCTTTCAAGCGGCTCGAACTGTGGGGCTTCATCGACGTGTATGGGCATCATGTGTGCCTAAACACCTCCGTGGCGAGGATGTTGATCAAAATCTGCAACTTTCAAAGGAGGCCAGCATCGACCCGAGCAAAGAGGGGGTTGTACCTCAGCTTCCTGCTGATGAGCAGCGACAACGACTGCTGTCTTTTGAGCAGGCTTGGGAATCAACTCGGGAGCGACTGGCGGTCGTGCTTAACGGTTGGAATCAATGCTCGAAAAGTAGCCTGGGCATGTTAGTGGATGCCAAAGAACTGAGTAGGGGCTGCTAGTGGGAATCATGCTACTGCACTGTATGTATTTCTTGAGTGTGATGTAATGTCAATCTTTTGACGGTCGTGTTTATTTCGATAATGTTGTACAAAGCCCATTGCAATTACGTGACTACTGGTAGGCAATCGAAACACAAGTACTATCACACGAGTTGCATCACGATCATCTATAGTTTTCTTGGATATTATGTACAAAGAACGACGGGTCCAGAGGTGGCATCTTGGGTAATGTCGCTAGTGGAGAAAGGGTAGAGTGACCGGAAAAAGGTAGCGATTCTGTGCGCGGCCATAGAGATAAACTAAAGACGGGAGAAGTTGCTCCAACAGTGGCTAGGGATATGATATCTAGGATCTGTCCTCGCACCCGACGTAGATTACCCATGACTGTTTCAACACGGGGCAGGAAGAATAGATGCTCACCCATTGTCTCGCCGGTAGATTGATGCAATCTTGCAAGCCTCAACTCCACCCAGTAGACCTCTTCAAAAAGAAAGAATGCTGACATGTGAAGGAAAAGGTCCTCAGGTCGAGTGGAGACTGACAGAGGGTCTGGACCTGTCCACTTGAAGCCCGGCTGGTTATCGTTGTTGAGGTGAAAGAGATATTCGACCGGGCGGAATCCTTGTCCCTTGTGTGATACCGAATTCAAGTCATTGTGAAAGTCTGGTCCTGGATTTTCGTGATCCGCGCAAAGACATGGCGGTGGCGCCGGGATGCAAGAAGACTCTCGCCAGATAGCGTGAAGGTCGAGATCGAAGTCGTCATCTAGTCTATTGTCAGCACAAGCACGCCGTAGAATCAATTCTCACAAACCATTTTGATCAAGTTTATTCATCTGAATCAAAAGGACTCGGGTACTGTCGTTGCGAGGAAGTGACAGGAGCTTCTGAATTGACAGTGCAGAGTTGCCGGAGGTTTAATATAGAAAGCTGTACGCGATGATTATTTAATAAGGCAGAGTCAAAAAGCCAAAAGTCAATCATTCAGAAAAGAGAATGGGCTAATGTACGTGGATTTCGTGAATCGTTGATGGTTCATCGGGATCAACGAGACATCACCGTCGGCCGTCTCACCGGGTATCCCCGTTGATAATCTAAAATATCATCTCACGAAAGTATCGCTTCATTATTATAGTATTATAAAAGGACACTAACTCCACGCGGCATTGATTTAACTGTTCGTGAGGCTGTCGTTGAGCTTCTTTCCTATGTTTCGGGTAAACAATAATGAATCATGATTGGGCGCGAGGCCCGAGTATCGTCACAATCTCAGGATCATGTACTTTTGGACGGCACCAGCTCAATCAGAACGTGATTAACCGGGTATAAATGGATCAGCTCAAGCTACTTAGCCTCGTTCGCTTGCTATCTGAAAGAATCCGTTAATGTCTACTGTTATTGTAGAAATCGGTAATTGCCAAGGCTTAGCTCAGATAGGGGCTGGTAGATGCTGAAATCAGAGCGGACGCCCGTCAAATGACAGCGGACCACGGAACTCTGGATCGTAGTCGGGACTCATCTTGTCGAGGGAAGCAACATAGCGGTTGCGACCACCGGATCTCGCATGTGTCTTCGTACAATGGGCTTTGAGATTGTCGCGGCGTGAAAAGCTACGGTGACATCCAGGTACCCAGCAGACAAACGGCTTTTCCTTTGAATGACTCCTTGAATGGCGCTCGAGGTGATCCCGACGCTTGAAGTCCATTGTGCAGCCAATAATTTTGCACTTGAATTTTCTCGTGTGCGTATTAAGCTCCTGTTCTTTTGCATTCGATAGATGCCTAGGCTGCTTGATATAGACGTTGAGGTCTTGCTGTGAAGGGTCTTTCATACCCACGTTGGTCTCATGGGTTTTCTGCCATTGCTCTGGTGACTGGTCAAAGGAGATACTGGTAAGAGAGGGAATGGTATTGGCTTCATCATTTGCGTCAGGGTTTCCTGGAAGACCCAAGAAGTCGGAACTACTTGTCGGAAGATTCGGAAATATCAGTGCAGGGTTGATAGTCTGCGTTGGCGAGTAATCAGCCCCCGGCTGCCGTTCAGCTAAATCGAAAGGTGAGATCGATGGAACTTGGTGTGGCTGACAAATTCTTGGTGGCAAGCAAAGTATGGAGGTCAACTCAAGGCAATGGTTTGCTTCCTGGCCAGGACAGAAGTCCGAATTGCCATGGTCTCGGGCCGGGATAAGTGTGGGATGATGAGAAGTTGAGGGGCAGTAGTAGACCTGGATGACTCCATGCTCTGCCCGACTGCCATGTTGCAGCGAAGCAACATTAATGCGACTAGCTCTTCGTAAGCTATCATCCAGGTTGGACCAGGTTGGCAGTATCTGTGAGTCCAGATAATAGACAAGATTGGTCCTTGCGGTTGACAGCTTGACTGGTGCGAACTTTGTGTCATCATGCTGAACACGAAGCTCTGCGAAAGTCGGAGCCGGCAAGAGCGGGGGAAGGGGTTTTTGATGTGTCCGAGACATGTTGCCAGCTGATCTGGGCATTTTCAGTATTTTGAAGCAGCATCAAGAGAATTGGAGCGGCTGGCAAACTATTTGGAGTAATAAAAGCTTATAGCTCAATCTAGGAGGAAAAGGACATAATGACGCACCGGTAGTGGGCAAAGTCATGACCAAGATGCGAGCAAGTAAGATGCAGAAAATTGCGTTAATTGTACATTGATTGCCTCAGCGCACACGATTTCAACAGCATCTCAAACATATGTCTATAGCAAAAGCTGGTACTAATATCTTATTGTCACGGATAGATTTGTACTCTTTGGTCATGATACTGCGTGGCAGTCAATGCATTTCTGCTACTTTAGTTGACTCTGGTGAATAACCGTTGAACCTTCAAAATAGTCCACCTTTTAGGAGCAGAATACTTTGTGAGCTTAGTCCGTCATTTTCTGGTATGAGTTTCGGGACCCGGAACAACGCCGCACGATCTTGACACATCCACTTGCTAATATTGACGGAAGTGTCTCCTGTCTGTAGCAGATCGCACAGCAACACACCTCAAGTTTAAACTTGATACTGTAGTCTAAACTATCAGATGGTAATCTTCGGCACTGTAAGCTTGCAACGCTCTTTTATCGACAATACCGTAAATTGCACACGTATTTCCACCTTATGGATCGGTCTTATTGTGCATTGTGCCTCTAATACTATTTCTGCCGTCTTTTAACTTGATTCGCTTTCAACTCATTCGTCTATCTGGCTGATGGGAATTAAAGAAGCACTTATACGTGGCGTCACTATTCTGAGCCAGACCCTAATTTAATCACACCAGCCTTCTTTCACAATGATTTTAATTAACGCCTAGTCTTGGTTCTGTGATTTGCTGTATACTTTTATATATGAAATGTCTCCCCGGTTTCCAAGATTCTCGATCTTTAAAATACGTGGGATTTGATTGGTCAAATAGTGCCTCAATCAAGCGAAGACCAAGCTAGACTGGCACCGTTATGATGCTCACTAGATATGTTCTACTGTTGGAGATGATCGTCTTATGCGTGGTCAGCGGACATCTCATCATGACTTCGCCAGAGCCATACAGTCAAGACACCCTTAACAACTCTCCTCTCGCTGAACATGGCAGCGATTTCCCCTGCAAACTTCGCACAAATGCATTCTTGACTCCTTCGACGGAGACAATCTATCAGATCGGCACTGAGAATTCTATCAAGTTCAAAGGAAGCGCGACACACGGTGGGGGCTCATGCCAACTGAGCCTGACCGAAGACCGTGAGCCCACCAAAGATTCTAAATGGAAGGTTATCAAGTCCTATGAAGGAGGTTGTCCTACAAAGGCAGAGAGACTCGCCGGAGGCGCCACTGCAGACAATGGCCTTCACCTCGATTTTGCAATCCCCGAAGGCGTTCAGCCCGGGAAATACACCCTAGCTTGGACATGGTTCAACCGCATTGGACTTCGTGAGATGTATATGAACTGTGCTCCCATCACCGTGGCTAGTGGCTCGTCGCAACAGCCCAAAGACATACAAAAGCAAACGCCTACTTTCCCACCCATGTTCGTCGCTAATATCAATGGCTGTATCACGAAAGAGAACTTGGACATTCGCTTTCCTGAGCCAGGAAGCATTGTGGAGCATAATGGCCAAATGGACCACCTTCTTCGCGAAGGTGAGCCACCATGCACCGGAACACCTACGTTCGGTGCCTCGGCAGCCATCCAGTCATCCATTCCCGACCCGACCAAGGGTGTGGTTGAAGAAACAGACTTATCTCCTAATTTATCAGCTCTTGCCCGCATTCCGTCTTCAATTTGCTCTTGTCATGTCCTTCGCCGTAATTGTGGCCATAGATACATATCGAGGAACTGAGTAAACGCTGACGTACAATGAAAGGAGGAAGGAAAGAACCCAATCAAATCCAGTGAAAATTCAGTGCTATTTTGAAAAATTTAGTTTCAGGTGTAAATTCATGACTCGCTCTGTTGTACAGTACTCGGATCGACTGGATGAGAACGAAAGGGGGTATCATATATAAGATCGCTAATTCAAAAAGTGAAAAGAACGCTTCCTTGCTACAAAACAGGAGGTTACGAAACACAAAGACGTTTTACATCTCCTGCCTTTGTTTGACATGGTCGTCGTCGTTTGGCTGCCCCCGACCGCTGTAAACTCGGTCGACATATTATAGTAGAGCGATGAAAGTCGATAATCAAAGCACGGCCAAGCTCTTCACTCCAGAGCACATTATCTCGCCGCAAGTCTTCATGGATGATACCGAGGGCTCTTATTTCCTTGTTTGATCTGTGAGTCTCGCGGCGAAGCATTGCTTCAGCTTTATCGTCGCTGTACCATAGCCTCCCCAGCCCATTTCGATCATGTGGCGGATTTCTCCAGCGCCATGAAGATAATAGATTTTTGCCAGTCCAATCGTACCCAAGAATATAGGCACAGTAGATCCTTGGGCCTTGCGCAGCACTCGATAAACCTGCGCTTCGCGGGAAACTTCTTTCCACAACCCCGAAGTGGTGCCTTTGCCGACAACTGTGTAGCCATATTCTATGCCGTTCGGTGTCTTCATTAAAAATGTACGAAACATTGGTTCAGACTTATCAGCGTATAATTGATTTGTTGGAAGTGACCTACCGCGCTAACCTTCCATAGAAGATGTACGAATAGATAAGTATCTCGATAATCAATTTCATCACCGCATTATCAAACTGATGGTCTTGGCCGATGATATCGTAAATTACATGGAAGCCAAGTTTCACCAGCAGGGAGGCTTGAAAAAATGACCCTCATGACCCGCAGTATCTCAATAATAGGAAGCCCGTCATGAAAGTGCTGCATCTTTTGCTGAGCAAGGACTTGAAGATCAGTAAGACCCCAAGGCCTTGACGCATGGTACTGTAAGCAAATGCTGGGGGTGGAAATTAGCAACGATGTACTAACAAAATTGTATATTTGCACCTCAATACCGGTACCCCTCAAGGTTACCCTGTGAATGGCGTGGGGGCTTGCGGCACGAAAAACAATTCGTCAGTTGCATGGATTGAGGTGGAAGATACTGGCCTGGTCAGCTTCTTCAATTACCAAGGAGACAAGTCGGCATGTACATTGGACAACGGACTCAAGCATGGCAGCCGATGTATTGCTTTTGACACGATATCCTCCACCAAGGTGTCCTCCGCTCTGACGACACCGAGGTCTTTGTCATCAGTGTCGGAAGCATCCTCGGCTACCTTCCAGACCGCACCTTCTTCTGATTGTTCCGCGGTTTGAGGAAAACATGAAGAACAAGTGGCAAAGTGGCATCATTCTCGGGATGTACCAAGCATACCCTGCATTACTTTGCAGGTACAGGGATTTTTGGCTTTTCTATTAGTTATGTTTTTCAATGTCTGGTTTTACAGTATTTCCTTTTTGAACATTATATGTAGGCAAGTTAGACGGAGACGTGGGCAGCAATGCAATAGGGTCAAACTGGATGAGTGTTCTGATAGATTCATCCTGATTCATAGGTTGTGATTCGATTTTGCAGTTTGTTTTATAATTTCAGTTGGGAGAGTAGTAATAGCTTGTACTGTAGCTATGCTTTACTTTCCAATTTGGGCGCTTCTCTTGAAGAGTTCCATCGATATAACAGTGTCCGAGACCTTGTCCCAATCCGACGAAAAGTATATAAGGGAACTCCTAAGTTCGGAAGATTGGGCCATGGTAATTGAATAAGCGCTTTGATGTGTCTGGTTAGTTTGTGCGTTTTTTCCTCATCCCAGGGATTGACCATACATATAATATGACACTTCTTGAGTTTCTCGACGGTCTTCGAGCTCGACGACAAATAGCTCGCCGATCACGGGAGCCCGGGTAATGCAAATACCAATGACAGGGTCAAGAGGTACCTTGTTACCTTGAGAATCTGCCAATATTAGTTCAGAATTCGCATAGTGTGCTTTGAGTGGCCTCATGCTTGTCCTATCCCGTTTTTAGTATGCAATATTTTCTTTACTACCCCTTGGATCAAGGAAAAACATACAACAAATCACCTTGCTGAGAGTATGAAGCTATGTCGATGGAGAAACCTCGCTTAAGATTTGCAAGTTGGGGCTGGGTCGTATGCAACTCCCTGCAGAGGTATTCAACGTTTAGCACCCGCGCATAAAGTGCGTTTACGAGTGCAGCATTGCTACTAACATCGACGGGCGTGGCGTAAGTTCTTGCTTCGGTATTTTTCCGGAAGCCAACATATCCCGGACGACCGCTACGGAACAAGCTACCACTCGTGGATTGTTGATTCCGCAGTGCAAATATTTTTATTGGCAGGGACTCTCGCAGAGCGGTCTTTGGGTCGATTGGTCGGTTTTGGGGCCCTAACAAGGAATCATCAGCAAGCTGGTAACGATCTCTCCGTTCCGGACCGTACTCAAGATTTCTTGGGATGTGTTAGATTGAGGTTTCCCAATCGCGAATAATCGGTCGACTATTGTGGAACAATTTGTTGTATAAAGCTCCCCGCTAACTTTGTCGAGTATTCTCGCAAGGTCCTGGTGGTCGTAGTTTTTCAAAACGCATGCTAGGGCTGCCGATTTTGCTGTACATATATTAGCATTAGTGCTAAAAGAGTGCATGGGGTACGACTGACCGGATTCTTCCATACCAGGGGCATCTTTGAAGCCCCATTCAATAGTAGTGGGCCACCACTTAGGTTCCACTTCCAGCCTCGATTTCACAGTGGCCAAAACCCCGTCATCAATCAAATCCCAATCAACGGCGGTTGGCCACCAATGTGGTTTGTTTTCCAATCTCAGTTTCGCAGTCGCCAGAAAGTGGTTGTAGAGCACTTCTCTATCGTTAGGGCAGAGTGCTTGGAACCCCAAATAGTATTGATCGGCGTAAGTTGGAACCGAAAGGTTGACCTTTGCGTCCATTGTGTTATTCCGATGGGTAAGGTTTGAGCGTCCAAATAGTAGGAGGGCAAGGAATTGTTTTAGACACAAGAGCAACAGATCAATCGTAGGGAAAAGTCACCACCCTGACCTAACTGCTGAGCTAGAGATAGCTTGGAGGGCATGAAAGTTGGACCATTCCTGTTTGGGTTTCGCAGGCATAAGCAACCTATAATCAAATTGAAGGCTTCCGACTGCAATGCGGTGAATCCAATTTTCGTTGGATTGGTTTATCGCACACTTGGCTTGGCTGCTAGTTATGGAGTCATTCACTGGATTGAGAATTTTCCCCCTGCATCCTACAACTCCTTCCTTACGAGGACTCCCCTCACAAAAAGCGTGGCAGCTCCTAGGATCAGGTCGAGCGATTCCAACATCAATTATGTGAGAACAGTCTCAGCTTCGGAACTAGGTTGCGAGCAGGTCTCGCCAACCCATAGGTGTTGGAAGCCTTGGAAGGGCGGCGCCATGCTGGCCGATAAGCTGTAGCCCACCTGGGAAGTCAGGAAGTGCCGGTGTTCTTTGCGTACGTCTAGCCCGTAATCTCGAAATTGCCTTAACCAATACACGTCTGGCAATTTTCTACTAGCCCCACCGCCAAGGCCTTAGCGCGACTCGCTCGCGTCGCATCCAATAGAGTAGCTCTTACGGGGCCAAAGAACAATGTCAAGCGTGTATTGGTCAAGGCAACTACGAGATTGTTGGCTAGACGCCGCAATATAAGTAGCACGTACGCTCCTTTGTATATCGTAACAACTTTTCCTGCATATCATCTATCAACTGAGAGAACTGATGTTCATATCGGCTTGGCGCATGCAACCATCCCTTAAAACTGCTACACCGCATACTCTCTGCAAGCCTGGCCGCGATTGCCCTACCGCATCCAGACATGAAGCCAAAGGCTTGGGTATACAGATTCCCAATACCCCAAAGATGTTGTAAGGTCATCCGGGCTGAGTGTGCTATGACGAAGAGCGAGTATTACGAACTAGCCGACCCCTTGTTGAGTGGACTCATGGAAATTTTTTTGATAGCGCACCTGCTCGGAGTCACAGAACAACTCCTCTACGCCAGCAGATATCTGAATCCGCTTAGGGAGCTGGACCCTTTCATGGTCTACTTTGAGCCACTAATCAAGAAGGAACTGCAAGTCTTAATTCTTGGTAACGATACTCATGATTTTAATGAAGAGGGTCCAGCGTCCGGCGACGTACTGGGGCAGCCAAATTGCAGAGGTAGAGACCAATGGCGGACTCATTCATACGCCTGAAATCTGGATCGTGGCAATAACCTCCAACCAGTCCACGAACGAAGCGCCAACAGAGCTCGCGACAACTGAAGAGCCATTTGACGCCTTAGTCCAGCCTGTGGAGAGCAAACACATGTACAGAGACCCCGATACGAGCATGCCGGTGATGTGGTTAAAGGGTAGGGGCGTGATTTGAGACATCGACGTCCTCAAATGCAGACTCAACGGTCGAAATACATGTGTACCGTGGAATCTTCCTCTTTCGCGATCGATTCGGATGATCTTTGCCAAGAATATGACCTGGCCCTACCCTACCCTACATCGACGCTTCAGGAGAACCCCACACGATCAAATTTTCGGAGCATGATACGGCGATGGAATTCATGTCGGATACCCATAATGGAAATCGCTCGGTTGTTTTGCAGAAGACAATTCACGGTCCGGAGGCGAAGGCGGTATTTAATGACAGGGTGCTAAACAGAAATTGAAGGAATGTTTTGGGAGAGATTGAGTTTGCTTTCAAGTTCCCTTTTCAAAGTACTGTAACACATAATTGGGGATAAAATTGTAAGCTACAATCAAAAAGTCAGGCATCGAATCCTCTAAAGCCGAACTTCTTAAGTCAGTTCCTATGAATACGGTATTCAAGGTTGGATGGTGTCGACATCGCCATAAAATGGTGGTGATCATCCTCTCAAGGCAGAGGTAGCACTGAGGAGCCTAATTATGGAAAGGGGAGGATGGGAAGCATGCATTCATGAATTTCTTCACCAACGACGTCACGTCCGGATCATATGTTCTTCCACGAGGTGCAGTAATATGGTATATGCAGCGACCAATCCAACCCCAGAATACCTGATGCAAATTTTTAAAAAGGCAGCAGACCCTGGGAGCGTGATTCCAGGAGCTGGTTTACTCCCAAGACATCAGACACATTTTCCGGGGCTGTCGAACAACGACCTCTTGTGTAAACATCGATCAAACTTGGTGCTAGTGGTAAAGACTTCAAAATGTGACTCTGGAAATATCATAGCCCCAGCAAATCGTACGTAGCTTGTAAGGCTATCCACTACCACTATCACGAAACCGGTAACATTCCTGTTGACGGTGCCAATGATATACAAGAAGCATACGGAATGGATGGAGATATGATCTGCACAGGACCCACATGGTGTACATGGGTTCCCCTGAACGTGAGGCAGCTACCTTTTTTTTGCTTCCTCGCGCTACGTCTTGTATCTAGAGTCGAATATAGCTTTATTCAATATTGATTACTGATCTGAATACGCTGTCCACATCTACGGATATGTGAGACCCTCACAGACGGCCTATCAGTGCCAGGAACACACATTTTGGTCCTGGGAGTTCGCTTACTCCCGGAAGCCTCTGAAACGTTTCTGGGAGCAAAGAAGCAGCTTCTAGGAGCCACGTAGCCCCCAGGAAACCCGATGTAGCTTCTGGGGTCTGCTATCACCACCTCAGGAATCAAAGCCGAGTTCCTGTTGACAGCTTGTTGATTCATGGGGCGATTATTCGGCCCTGTTGGGGTGGTCAACGACGCAGATTTGTGCGCAGTTCCAGTGAAGGTGTCTTGTAAGGCTTTTTGCGATATCAGAGGCAGTATATTGACTCTACGACCCCAAAAAAAGGTCCCAGGGGCTCCACAGGTCCCAGATCCAGGCTTGTATTGAAAATTCTGGCTGCAGGCCCAATGGCTTATACCATGAATGAGCAATGAGCAGCTGCCGTGATTTTTAATTATTTGAGAATCGGATTAACATTAGCTCAAGGAGAAGATTTTCACTCAAGCATTCATGAACCGTAAGACTTCAACAACTCAACAGCTTGAAGCTTTTTGGTGACCTCACACGTCTACGTGGAGCTGCTTGATATGTTAGAAAAAATAGATGAAAATTCTCATTTTGCTGCTTTGCTAGATTTTTTTTCACAACTTTTGAAGTCCGTGGTCTCTAAACGTGCTTCTTACCAATTTTCTCCTTGTGTTCGAACCGCCGAGGCTGAATCGCCTAGAACGTAAATGACTTTATGAGAATACTTTCCAGCATCATCATCTGACAAGTTCAGATCGCGTAAAGGAATCATCAGCCATGACTCTATTTGGATTAAGACTGGGAGGGAGCTTTCCAAAGGATCAGGTTCGATACGACGTAGATATTCCCACCAAAGCCTTCTGGATTCCTTCCCCGTGTTTTGAATGATAATTTTGTTCAAATCAAAATCAGAGGTAAAAATCTGTCCTCTAATACTCGAGCGCCAGTCATGACGTCGGAAGATGTCCCAGGCTTCAGGGGCCGATCCCTTCAATTTCTTTGACACAGCACACTCGATGTCTTTCATTGCTGGGATCGTAAGATCAAATATCGGTTGGTCGCGTGAGAACTTATGCACATAAGCTGAGAGATGCTCCTGAAAAACTTTCCCTCCCGCTTCCAGATCTCTTTGAAATAATTCAAGTATGTCAGATGGTGTTAAAAATGGTTGCATACCCACCACGAAAGACATCCAGTTGTTAAGAAAAGTGTCATTCTCATCGAGAAAGATTGAATCACGCCAATCGCAAATCCAGGTTGGACGATTGAAGACTTGGAAAAGAAGAAAATTTGATGCGTAATCAAAAATCTCAAGTATTTCGGCGCTTTCTGTAAGGCTGCGATGAGGATTATCGGACCATAACTTCGCGATTATCTCATATGTGAGGTCTTCAGCCCCGGGATCCGAGGATTCTAAAAAGAGCGCAAGGCTTTGCAATGCTTTCGTGTCGAAAGTGCGAGCCATGAATGCACGATAAAACCTTTGCGCGGAGAATTTCATCATATAATTGATAGCAGGTGGTGGACATGTATGGCCACCCAGGACATTATTGCAATCTGCGTAGCAAGCAACTGCATATTTATCTCGCTTTTCCAAAGAAAAATGATCGGCAGATTGATAGGACAACGCGCAGCCGTATTCGGTCATATGCGAAAAATATAAGCATTTCAATTGATTGGCTTGCTTCCAACACAAGCGAACGCGACGAAGATAAAGTTCCACCGCCCTTGACGAAAGATTTCGAGCCAGGGCGGATCTAGACTCCAGGTCAAGGAATTCACCCACCCATTTAGAAGAAGCCGAGGTTGGGAAATTTGGAACCTTCAGTGCCGGATTATCATCTTTCGCATGCAAGTAATCTAATAGTGAACAAAGGTTGATATCGTATTTGTGCCATTCTGATTTCGTCTGGCAAGCTTCAGTAATTCATTCAGGACATGAGTGTTTTCAGCAGAGCTTACGATAATGGATAATTCAATAGCGTTCTTGTGACGGTCGTACACATCATAAACCCATTTACAAGATCGGGCCAGACGCAAGGGGTCAGCGATAAGCTCAAAGCTCTGAAAAATTTGCAACAGTATCTCAGTTGGAAGAGAACGAAAATGAGTGCTCTGGTCCCCCATCTTGCGGCCAGCTTGTTGAACAGCCAGATGTTGTCGCCTGTTCCTGTGAAGTGCCAATAGCAGACAGGACTGTGCAGAGCATGTGAAAATAGCAATTGATTCAGTGTTTCACACAAGCTGGAACGGTCTGCTGGCTTCGGTGCGCTCCGGAAGTTTGTTATTCCGCGGCGCCCCCTGCTCCCAGTGAAGGCGGTCAAGATCAAACGTCCATTTGAAAGTGATCTACCGTCGCGCTAAAAGCTTCGTTCTCTTTGCTTTGTTTTACAGTATCTCTATGTTTGATACTATAAGTGACAAGCTTTTATTGTGATATTCAATTTATTTAGGCCACTCAGTCTGGTTGTCGGTAGCTCGACGCTACTGGCAAACCCGAGCGAAACTAGACATAGAGTTTGTCACCATCATCAGTCTGAGTAAGAAGATACTGATTTCTTCCGGTCTCGATTTGAAACAGCCACTGGAGGCTTTTCAGTTGCGCACTTTGATTCTGATTTTCATTGAATTTCAAACAGACAAATAATTTTGATATGATGATGATGTATTCATTTGCCCGATGTAGCTCGCTCCAGACATATGCTGCTATGCGGGAGTGCTGTCAGGCCTACCGTCAGCTGGAAAGAGTGGTACCCGCCCACTGGGCGACTGTTGGAAACTCGTGCGAATTTCTGGTCAATCTCCGTCCAATTCTTCTTTGGGTATTGTGGCCCCAACAATGCAAAGCTAGACGGTCGGGTCAATCGACAGACACCCCTTCGCTAGCTACACTGTCCACATTGTTGCTAGATCCGCAATTTTGTTTATGATAACTTTTGTTGCTTCAAGTGAAGTTGTCTCCGAACATGCGAGTAAATCCGCCGATACATTCTATGAAGGGTATCCTATGACCTTGGGTAAACGCTTGAAGATATTAGCTACTTTCCGTGCGGTAGATTTCTTTCAATCCCAACGTCGTCGTACAGTCTTATATCTATTGGAAACGTATGGTATCGGACAAGCAAGAGTACAATATCCAATCCTTCACTATTCTTTTGCCATATCTGACGGCCCTTCCAGATACAGTCTAGAAGGGTGATTCCAGTCATCAAGTACCCTAATCAGTCGACCCCGGGATGATTCCAGTGCCTGCTCGAAGAAGCGCAGCCGAGATAGCTGCTTATCGTGGCGAAGCTGAAGACCGCCTCTCTTTTCTTTCCATTGCCTACAATCCTCCTTCAAGATCCGATTGCTCAGCTCTAGCTTCTGGCTATCCATATGCTTGGACACGCATGACTCCCACAGGCGTCGATAGATACCGACCAGTCGAGCTGCGGGTACGGCCGACTTCATATTTTCGCGTTCGAGGTCTGCTATCACCTTCAGAATAGGCTGAAAGGGCTCGGTTGTTAAAGCATGTCTCGTTTCTGCTTCCTGTTGCGAGAGAGATGGCTGTAGTGGTCAGCAAAGGCATTCGGAGTGGAGTTGTTCCACTTACCGTTGGTGCATGATCAGAAGCGTCAGGTGGATCGAGTCTTTCAGAAACGACTAGCAATGCTGGGGGTTGCCCTTGTTCTTCTCTTTCCTGGGCTGGCGTGCTGGCCGGGGTATCTATTTGTCCGTTAGAGGATGTCGAATGTGGGAGGAATAGCTCGTTCCATGATTTCTTTTATAGACCGGATATACAGACTTGGCATTCTATTTGACACTAGTGCTGGTAATCAAGCCTCGTTGTATTGGTTGATGAGTATATGTCAGATATAGTTGATCACGAAGGATGACCTGTCCGAGACATAAATATTCAATCGCATCATTATTTTCACATTTTGGAGGACTCAGAAATCTTGAAGGCAGACAGATAGAATCCAACACATTGAACAAAAGCCGTAAAAATTCAAAATATGTCAACAGTAGTCACCCGTCCAGAAGTTGATTCAAGCCAAGAAGAAGGATGGGTTTCAAGGGGTGCGCTCGCGCGACCGCGGACTGTAGTTTCAACAGTGAGCCAACATTTTTAACTGACTCAACTTCACTGATTTTCAACATGACCAGCATTTTTACTCGGCGGGAATCTCAAATAGCCCTGAAAATGTCGCTGCAGATGGTTGCGGTATTAGAACCTGCCTCACTTAGGATAGGCATCGTGTCCTTCAACGTTTGCTTCCCAGCAGAGCACTTACGCGACTGCAGCTGAGGAGCCTATAAATACGTCCTCCTCCCCCCAGCAATTGTTCTGCAATACTTTCTCTTGGCTACCAGAGTCGAGCGGCCTTTCGCTTTGAGGCACCAGATAAGTTTCTTTCTCTGACCTTACTAGAAATCCACTGTACTGACATCTATAGTTACATTGTGGTCCTCCAAGGAAGTGCGAATGAGAATGTGATTCCCACCAAGTTCACTTTGCTACTATACCCATGGCAGCCGACCACTGTCCGGTGAATACATCGATGTAAAAGAGCGGTTAGACCGATAAGTCCCAGCACGATACTGTCCAAATTCAGCTGACCCCATAGATGATCCAAAATATTACTATGTGCATTCGCCCAAATTACACCAGCCACGGAGCCCCTCCCCGTGGCTTTATGCAGACCATGTGAGTCATGCAGTGTCCCGCCGATCAAAAGCTAATGATGGACAGGAAACCGTGATAACACTCCAACTTGAGTCCGAAGTAGCACTCTGTCAGTGCTCCGCGAAGGGTCATGAATTACGCGCCATTTCTAGCGCTCTCAATCCAAACCATGCTGCGTGTCCTGCATGAGAAACCGCCAACCAAAGTCGCGGGCGAAGAACATGATGCATAAATTCTAGACGTTTGTCGTCCACGATGAGGTGAATGGAATATTGCGCCGCTTGCCGCGTCAACTCCGATGCGTTGTGTCAAGTTTGTGCCACAGACACGAAAATTACTGACATTATTATGCCATTGTAGCAGCCCATCACCAACTGGGGAAGCCCTTGTCGCGAGAAAAGCTATTCCCGCCAAGTCAGATAAAATTGCGGGCCGACGCGCTGTATTGTCTCCACCTCATCGCCTTCGCACCCTGCGCGACGTCGTGTCTCTACAAGGAGTCTCCAATAAGACTGTACAACTATTCCGCACATAGGTTCGTCGCCAGCGTTTTCTGCCTTGCGAACCTGCTCTGCGCACCGGCGTGGCTTTCTCGCATAACCGGTAGGTGACGAACCTGGATGCAAGATGGCATATTGATGACAGCGTTGCAGAAGAGACATGGTCTCGCTGATAGGCTGGTATGACGACGATTCTAATTGACCGACTGTCTGAAGCATACCGTCGATCACCAGGGACGTCTTCATCAACAACGTAAAGTACATTGCCTCGTCCAACTGAATCAACACTGGCTGACTCTGATCTCATTACAGGCAACCCTCGGATTCCCATGAGTCGAATGCGAAGCGAGGAAATTGCGTGTCTGTTCGGCCTTGTTGGTACTATTGCATGGCCTGTGCCTTCTCCAAGACTATTGCTAGCTTCAACGGGTCGCCACCTCGACCTTCGAGTCGATTAATCCATCGATCAGTTGGTATGCCTATCTGACCTAGATCCGAAGAAGTGCATAGCAGTCTGTCTCTTGGACTTTGAAGACCTACAGGGATAGCCGATAGCCTTGTGGCGTGGGTATTTGTTCCGCCTGATGGTATGGATGTCTACTGCAGTAGATGCTATCTCCATACCCCGACTGAACTGCGTGATCGAGACGAGGCGATACCAAGACCTGAAGATTATGCAGGACAAATACTTGCACATCCAGCGAGGCATACGGTGATCACCTCAAACTTGATGGGCCCTACAAACTCGTCCATGAAGACGCTCGTCCCGAATGCGCTCGCAGAGGATTCAAGGCATACGAGCATGGAGACTAAATGCAGGTTCGGTGAAGCTCCGTCGACGCATGCACATCGATATATCCGACCCTCAAGATCGAGAGGTAGAGAATATGACTGCTCATCCCGTTCGGAAAGCTCAGATATTACTCTTTATAGCGGCCATGAAATTCTCAAGGCTGTGGGACAGACCCCGCTCATTGTGAGAGGCGTCGCAGCGAATATTCTGGTTCAGCTTTAACGCGCCCTCGAGCCGGGGGGCGGGGTCCCCCAGAGACCCCCCTTTATGGGGGTCGGCGAGGCAATTTCCAATTTCCGGGGGTGCCCCCCAAGGCGACGGGCAAGACTTCTATGCCAGTTCTTTCATTGTTTCATCTCTGAAATCTCTCCTCATCGGCTTAGGCTGGATTGACCTTTTCATCATTCTGATTCGGGTCTTATACGATCTCGTCCATTGGCATGAAGCAAATGTTCGCCGCCCTTGTAGCACCTCTCCCTGTCCGTTGAGATCCTGTCGTTCACTGTATCACGTTATGCTGGTGCGTGTAAGCATTGGATGCCTTTCCATCTTCGTATGATGCTAGAAAAGTACTATCGCCTTTCTTAGTACGACGAGTTGTCATTGATGCTGGATGCTTCTCAGATCCTTCATGTCAATGCCCTTTCCGCCATGATACTGAAGAAACAGTCCTGAAATGGCGGTAGACCAAGCCTGTTGAAGAATCTGATGATTCGAGACATAGCTCCCAATCCATCACAAGAAAGTATGAGACCACTCCATTGTCTGCTGCTGAGAGCAAAGCAGCGAGCATGACGTGCAACGTATGGCACCTCAAATCTCGTTTGTGCTAGCGTGTTAAAGCTGCGGATTCTCTGATGAGTTATGTCCTATAATCCTACTTCAATAGGGCTTTCAACGGAATTTCTCGGCAGTGAAACCAAGGCAAGGAGCGTCTGCGGCTCGCGATCAGGCCTTCGGCGTGGTAATCATGCATGCTCAGTGCACCCCACGGGTCAGCGTATCTTGCCCGTCGCCTTGGGGGGCACCCCCGGCAATTGGAAATTGCCTCGGCGACCCCCGTAAAGGGGGTCTCCGGGGGACCCCGCCCCCCGGCTCGAGGGCGCTTTGGAACGGAATCAGAGCATACGCTTGTGTGCCTTTCAGGTAGGACATGGCCTTTCTGTACATCAAAACCAAACCTACATGACATACAGACGTGGGTCGTAAAGATTAAACGGCTAGAGACCCGCATCCTGGCAGCGGCGTGGGGACCAGAACGCAAATCAATACTCTTGGCCTCACGTGTCACAGTCCGACTACGAGCTCAACTGGCATGGCCAATTGCGTGCTAGGCAGATCATGTAGGCCGTCTACAAAGGCTGGTTGACTACGTTCATGTCATACATGCGTAGTCTCAGCAAGACATGAAGGAATCAATGATATATATCCGCATCTGCCCTCGGCTCCTTGCTAGTAGCCCAAAATCATAGAACGACGCCCAGAAATTAGATATGAGAGCTGAGAATGGCATATGTAAAGCGGATGCACAGTACAAAATTTTCACTTCTAATACTTGCAGTAAAGAGTAGAGATGGATTTCATTAGGCATCAATTAAGATGTAATAAACTGTTCATTCATGAGAAACCTGACCACCTTCGCACACTGAACGACGGAGTCCTCCAATACAATTGTACAATGCTAACACAGGTAGGTTCGTCACCCGCGTTTTTTGTCCTGCGAACTTGCCCTGCGCACCAGTGTGGCTTTCTCGAACAAGCGGAGCGTGACGAATCTGCATGTGCGTTGATCACCAGTCCCTTCACCGCCCGATCACTGCACGTTTCACCACACCGGCATCAACGTCAACACGTCAACACGTCAACACACAAGCTCTAAATCTCTACTTTCACTTCACACTGGCATAACAAACATCCTACCGAAACAGCATCACAACACAACATCGCTATGTGTTCTACACCCAAATCATGCGATTTTACGTTGTAGCAAACGGATCATCGACTGCGGAAAGGCATACAGAGTGGGAATACGGGTTGCTAAACATGAATCCTTGCTTGGATTGAGTTGGTGATTGATTGTCTATGCTATGGTGCTCTGCAGCACGATACAGTATGAAGATACTGAGCAGGTCTTGGCTTCATCGAATGCTGTTGCAAATTCGAATACTAGTCTCTGACACCACGAAGAGGTGCCTGCACATTGTCAGAGGATCAGGACTGGCACCGCGGCGCCACGGGACGCCTAAAAAAGCACAAATTTGATACTGTAACGCAGGGCTCAAGGCTGCATGGAAGCTCAAGATTATACAGTCACAGGGCTCAAGGCTGTGAGGGAGAACTTGGTATCGCAGCGATCTCCTGCGAGGAACAGTTGATATCGCAGAGCCTATCCTGCGAAGCACATTTCTACAGTCACAGGGCTCAAGGCTGTGAGGGAGCACATTTTTACACTCGCGGGGCTCAGGGCAACGAGGGAGCACATTTTTACACTCGCGGGGCTCAGGGCAACGAGGGAGCACCTTTTTACAGTCACAGGGCTCAAGGCTGTGAGGGAGAACTTAGTATCGCAGCGGTCTCCTGCGGAGACTCTTGGTGTCGCAGATGTCCCTGCGGAGACTCTTGGTGTCGTAGATGTCCCTACGGAGACTCTTGGTGTCGTAGATGTCCCTACGGAGACTCTTGGTGTCGTAGATGTCCCTACGGAGACTCTTGGTGTCGTAGATGTCCCTACGGAGACTCTTGGTGTCGCAGATGTCCCTGCGGAGACTCTTGGTGTCGTAGATGTCCCTACGGAGACTCTTGGTGTCGTAGATGTCCCTACGGAGACTCTTGGTGTCGTAGATGTCCCTACGGAGACTCTTGGTGTCGCAGATGTCCCTGCGGAGACTCTTGGTGTCGTAGATGTCCCTACGGAGACTCTTGGTGTCGCAGATGTCCCTGCGGAGACTCTTGGTGTCGTAGATGTCCCTACGGAGACTCTTGGTGTCGCAGATGTCCCTGCGGAGACTCTTGGTGTCGCAGATGTCCCTGCGGAGAACTTGGTAATGCAGCGGTCTCCTGCAGAGAACTTGTTAACGCAGCGGTCTCCTGCGGAGTTCACTTGGTAACGCAGCGCACCCCTGCGAGGATTGTTGTTGACGCAGACCTATCCTGCGGGGTAGTCTTGTTTTCGCAGCACCCCCTGCGAGGCATATTGTTGACGCAGACCTATCCTGCGAAGCACATTTCTACAGTCACAGGGCTCATTGGCTGTGAGGGAGCACATTTTTACAGTCACAGGGCTCATTGGCTGTGAGGGAGCACATTTTTACAGTCACAGGGCTCATTGGCTTTGAGGGAGCACATTTCTACAATCACAGGGCTCATTGGCTGTGAGGGAGCACATTTTTACAATCACAGGGCTCATTGGCTGTGAGGGAGCACATTTTTACAGTCACAGGGCTCATTGGCTGCGAGGGAGCACAAGTCTTACATCGCTGGGCTCGTGGCAGCGAAAGCCGTGGTCATGGAGACCCTCAAGCCCGTAGGCAAGAGGGACACCGTGACACATCGGAGTGTGAGGACTGAAGTCCTGATTTTTTTGGGCTGGGAATTGGGCCTCTTTTATACCTTTTCGGCTGCGTCTCTTCCAAGGAACTACATGCGCAGATGGTAGCGAGAATTGCGTATTTCATAGGCGTTGACGCCATGTGAACCACGTTAAAACGGTGTTTCGGGACTCTGCGGCCTACAGAGTCAAGAGTTATCTTGCAATCATGTCTCTAAAAATTCTGCGTTGAGTGTGGTGAACAACGTTCATCAACTGTTGAGAAGAGAGCCGTACCGGAAGAATATGATTCTTACACATCGTTGAAATTGCAATTAAATCGCTCAACAGGGCGGCACCTAGTACAGCTATGAGTCAGAGTCTGAAATGTTTCTCCCCCCGCTGAAAATTGTTTTGAAATTCGTGGCAGATAGTCACGCTTGATTGTGCCCGTGGTTGGCTTTTTCGCAAAGTGAGTCCCATTGAACCCATTGAAATTTATTGTGTGCATCTCCTAGTCCCGTGCTACTCGATTGGGGGTTTTCTGTGTTGCACACAGCCGACTATTGTTTCAACTATTGCAGGACTCGAGAACTTCTGATGCTCGTAGGCACACATTCGAACACGCTAAGAAGTCCAGGGTATTTGTTGCGTTCCTTTGACGCAAAATCCAAATTTCTCGTCCTTGTCGTCAAGCCAGAATCGGAACTCGAGTCCAGATTTCAGGACAAGTAAGTGAGTCAATTCAGCGTCTCGTAAGGTGAAAAAGCCTACCATGAAGTCCATGCCTCATGCCGCATTCTCCCTGAGCGAGCGTTTCCATGGCTCATCGAATCTCATTTGTCGAGATAACATGATGTCGGTCCTTGATTAACGCTCCCGTCCAATAGCCCACGGCCTTCATAATATCCGTTTCCATGCCTTGGGTGGAAGGGTATACGATACTGCTGTATACTGAGTCAAAAAAGTCTGCACCCTAACCAAATCAGACTTGCCGATCAGCTGCATTGCTTGATCAACTGCTTTCGGCCCAGCCTTCCAACCAGGTAGGTCTCGAGCAGACTAATGTCTAGAAAATTCCAGAGCTTCCTGAGAAATACGAACATCATGCTACTGTATTGTATCAAGTTCTTAAAAAGAACCCCATGGTCTGGTTTCCAGGCATCTTTATACATAGAATATTACTTTGCAAGCTGTATCAGAATATGATGATATGCTTCTGGGTCATAATGATACAGTAATAATGTATATGGCTGTATCTGGAGCTTCCTCAATATTGTTGTAACTTATGAATGAGTTTTATCACAGAACCCATTTTTTCCCTAATTGGACCCCATCCACCGATTTATTTCTGGCACTCAAGGGTTTCTAGCTTGCTCTATCTTCGGATATGCCATAACAGCCAGTTCGGATCTTCTCTCCTTCGTAATACCCCCTGCTCCTTCCTCCACACAATACTGGGTTCAAGAAGGAGGCCTCGGTATCATCTCCAAGGTTCCGTCATCTCGTGTCTCTCAAGTATCAAATTATGCAGCTGCAACAACATGTACCAAAATCAAGATGAATAGTGCAGACGCAAAGGTGGCCTGGCCAACCGCGCCATAGTATATGACGGCGTAGTATGGAAACGAACTCTCTCCACTAAACAGCTCAAATGAGGATTGAAACCCATGAATACAGCCGGCGGCATAACCTCCTATGGAGATAACACATATGCTCATGAGAAATGTCAAGCAGCCATAGTAGATTCGAGCATTGCAATCTTCTTGTAGCCACCTTGAGTGGACCGAAAGAAGTATTCCGAAAATAAAAAGCACCGTTGAGATGAGGGCTGTGATAACCATGCTAACGAGAATGTTGCTCATGAGCTTCTGAAATGTGATGTCCAGCATCAAATTGTCGGTGTGGACAAAGTCAGACTTTGCGCGATTTTGCAGGACGTCTGCGAGTCGTGCAGACGCTGAGGCGAGAGCCGCAAGTCCCAGCCAGACTATTGTAAGAAAAGAGACGACCAGTCGCATCCGCATCATGCTTCTGGTGAAAAATGAAGGCATTGTTCCAGAAATGGTAGTATGGACTTTTATTGGTCGAGTTGGGTCTCGTGGAGACAAGTTTTCAATAATGTGAGAGTGAAAAAGAAATGGTCAATATCCGGACAGAGACTATTTATACTTTCCAGTCAATTTTCTGTGCGCCATGTAGACTAAACTTGCCTATACGATGAATGACCCATTGCATTGCCCGCTGCCTAAGTGGAGTATAGCTTCATTCACGAATTACGCTTTTCAATTAAGATTTCTACTCATCGTGGCGAGCAGCGTCGCAAAAGGCTCTCGGCCTCTGGGGTAAAAGGTAGCTCCTAGGATCACCTGTGACTTTCTGTTAGGCATATATGAAGACATGATCTGCATGACGCACTTTGTGCATCTGGATTGCCCGGAAGACGAGAACGCCCTTCTCTTTACTCCTCGTGCTACGTATTTTATCGTGAGTTAACCATATGTTCACCATATTAACGGCTTATCTCGAGAGGCTAAAATATGTAAATTCCGCCGAGCACGTTAGCCACTATGTTCACGTGAAATATGTGTTGACGGTTCAATCTTTGGGTAGCCCTGGACTTCTTCACCATCAAAGACACGATATGGGATGTGCGGCGGGTTAAGTATGAGATAATACGGTTCAGCGCAAATTATGCCTGAAAATGGTATAAGAGGAGCTCATTTGAAAGGGGTTGCATTGTACCGGACGAGATTAACAATTATCTAACAAAGCAATCATGGGCTATCTGTAATTCAAGACCTAGTGCAAAAGTGGACTTGCTCATCCAAGTGGCCTCCACGGTACAGTGCGATTCTAGAGGTGAGAGCTGCTTCAATGGCCCTTTTGACATCACTCGCACATTTTGCCCGAGCATCCCTGTAGAGACGCTTGACAACCTGTTCGTGTCCATTCCGAGCTGCTTTGCATAGCGCCGTGTTCCCAAAATTATCAGCAGCAGCAACATCCAATCCATCTACTTTTAGTAAAAGATTTATAATCTCCAAACGACCATGGTAAGCGGCCAAAGAAAGTGCAGTGTCGCCCAAGTAAGTTTTGAGATTAGTATCCGGGGGTGTTGTGTGCCGAAGGAGTAGCTTTGTAACTTCCGGGTAGCCCATCTCGGAGGCAACGCAGAGAGGCGAGCTGTTCCAAAATTGCTGATTGATGTCGATGGTATCAAAGGAGAGCAATCGGCGTACAACTTCCACATGACCCTGTTTGGCAGCATGGAAGAGGGGTGGGGCCTGATGCACGTTCACTTGTATGTCTGTCCTCGCGAGAAGGAGCTCCACCATGCGTAAATCGCCATTGGAAGCAGCGTGGGTGAGAGGGGGCCATCCGTCATCATCACGAAGGTTCGGATCTAGATGATTATTGTCGAGAAGCACACATGCGACCGACATGTTTCCCACCGAGACCGCATGGTGAAGAGCTGTCCAGCCATTTTGACCAGCCACGTTGAGGTCTGCATGGTCTTCTGCGAGAATTTGCAGGGCTGCAGCTGTGTGCTTTTCCTTTACAGCCAAGCAGAGTGCTGTTGCCCCATTAGCATCTCGGGCATTGATATCCACAGCACCGTAGGCTAAGAGAAGCCTTGTGATCAACTTGTTGCCATACTCTGCTGCGATGTGAAAGGCAGTGCGACCGTAGGTGTCTCTTGCGTTGGATTCTATACCGCATTTGGCCAGCAGGCACTTGGCTACCGACGTGCATCCATACTCTGCTGCGATGTGAAGTGCAGTGCAGCAACGTCTGTCCGTTGCATTGATAGATATCTCTTCATACGTGAGCAGTTGTTGGACCACCTCCCTGTCACCATTTTTCGTGGCTTGATGCAACAAGCTCTGGCCATCTCTATTTCTAGAGTTTAGATCTGCGCCATGGGCAACCAGTAGCGCGATGACATCTTGAAAGCTTGCCTGTACAGCCCGACGGAGCAGACGGTTTCTGAGAGCTGCATCCTCCAGTAGTATCTTTCTTGAATTGGCATCTGAATTGAGGAGTATCAGCCGGGCGATATTCGGGGGTTGCTTCGTCACTGCCAGGCAGAAGGGCGAGAAGTCTTTGTAATCTGGCGTTCGCATGTCGCTATCCCTTTTCAAAAGGGCTTGCACCAGGCTCTCATCGCAGCGAGCGATAGCGTACCAGATAGCCGACCGTTTTTTGATATCCACTTTATTCAGACATGGATTAAATTCAAGTAAAAGTGATGCAGCCGACATAAAATTCCTTTCAATGGCATATACCAATGGAGTCTGCCTGTGTTGATCTTGCCAATTGATATCCGCTTTCTCGTTGTCAAGAAGTTTGCGAATGATTCGCTCGTTCTTGGTACGAATGGCGTAAAAGATCGGTGTGCGAGATCTACTATCGGTCGTGTTGGCGTTCGCTTGGTAGTCGTCCAACATCATTTTGACGAATTCCAGTTTGCTTTGACGAACTCCCCAAAACAATGCGGAGCTGCGTTGGCGTCGGACGTTGAACCTGTACAAACAGTCGAGAAAAAGACGATTCGCAGTTCGATTGAGGCAGGCCAGCGCAAGCAGATCTTTGGCTTGATCCAGGCTATCTACCATGCAAAGAAGGATTTCATCAGGAAGTCTGTAGAGAAACATCTATCAATTACGTTAGGATTGACTCATGTATCAAGAGTGGGGACAGCCATACTCACATTGGAAATTTGGAGCTAAGAGGAGCTGCGTACGGCTTGTATCGTGTGGAGTCGGCGTGCTGGGTGACTTGATTAAAAAACTGAGATGGAGAGAGCTCTGGAATATCTTATATGCACCAGAAAATAAACCTTGTAACAGGCAATATGGGTGAACCGAGAATATAGATGCCTTCTTGTACGGTAGGATATCATCGAAGAAGTTGAGGAACTGGCCAGGCTCCTGGGAAGCTGGTCTTGGATACCAGGACCCCTTCTTTGTGAATGCTACTACAGCAGATCATGTGGAGTCGATCTCGGGCTGGAACAAGAGTTTTTATTCGCCAATAGATGGAAATGCGATAGACTTTTGACGCATTCCCTCTAAGTCTTGATCGGGCCCTCCATGATCTACAGTATACAACGCCATCAATGCAAGGACTCGCGATTGATTAACTTACTGGTGCGTAGGAAGGGCCATTTGTGGAACAAAAAACGGGATGCCACGAGTCATAAACAGGATTGAATAGCGGAATGGGGTGCAGACTCTTCAGATGTCCCATGCATAGGGATAGGCGGCTCGCAGAAGCTGCTCCTTTGTGCCCAGAAACGGTTCAAAGGCTTCCAGGAGAAGAGAACCCCCAGGGCCAAGAGACGAATTCCTAGCGAGATGAAACTGTCTGTGGGAGCGGGAACAGTTGTTTGACAGGGGCGATGAAAATGGGGAAGTTTGTTTCTATTACGAATATGAAACCTGAGTCTGAATTCTTCAATCCAAACTATTGTTTTGAAGCAACAGTACTGAAGTTTTCCCGGATTTGAGTAGGAATCTTTCCTTTCTGTCTTGATTTTACGTCAGGCTATACACGGCTGCGCCTGAGTGCTCAATACGTATCTATGTTCCTAATTACCGCGAAGCACATGACGAAGAGATTGACGATGAAATGCGGGCCAAAGCGGATGAATGGGGAGATGATACTGTCTCTCCAAGCATATCATCGGTCAGATCAGGAATGGACGACTGAATGGCTGCCGAGGCACCGAATGTAGGTTTTCCGGTGCATGGTGGCTCACCTTCGCGAAGAAGGTGATCTATTTGGCCATTATGCTTCACAATGCTTCCTGGCTGAGGAAAGCGAATGTCCACGCTCTCTTTCGTTATACAGCCATTGATATTAGCGACGAACATGGGTGGGAAAGTATGCGTTTGCTTTTGTATGTCTTTGGACTATTGTAACGAGCCACCAACCACGGTGATGGGAGCACAGTTCATATACATCTCACGATATCCAATACGATTGAACCACGTCCAAGCCAGAGTATATCTTCCGGGATTAATGCTTTCGGGGATTGCAGAATCGAGGTGAAGGCCATTGTCGGCAGTGGCGCCTCCGGCGAGTCTCTCTGCCTTCGTGGGGCAACCTCCTTGATAGGGCTTGATGACCATTCATTCAAAACTTTTGATTAGCATAAGGTTTGCCGTCTTCTAGAAGGCTGCTATGATTGGTCCTTAATCGGTAAACAGAAACTGCTAATGTAACTGAGCATCTGATAATGTAGGAATCGATGTAGTATCACCAAGATTCAGAACATGCTGGCCTACTTTAGCTCCTGAGCAAAGAACTTCAAAGCAACGGCGATCAGTCGTCGCTTGGAGAGTTAAAATACTTGCGTGACTTTAAGGATGAAAGCAGAAATATCAGAACTCTATTTTCACAAAAGAAGGAAGCTGAAAGCAGCATAAAGTAAAGATTTGGTTCGCTTACGGAATTCTCAGGTTGAGTATGTCTTCTCAGGAGAATAGCGATATCCAAGTTCTACAATTTTATGATCCTAATTTACATTAGTGATTTATCTCGCCGCATAGTTTTGGAAAAAAAACCTACATCATGTGATGCCATCATTTCAATGCTTCTGGGATCCCATTCAATTATAACGCGGGCGCTATTTTCTGGACAAAAACCAAGCCATTCATCATGCCAGATGAGCGTATCCTTGATGTGAATTCCAACAAGGCCGTTCTCCACACTGGCAATCTCAAGCCCAGTGAAGGACGTCACTTGGACAGACTGCCATATGGGGCCCTCATAACCGATCAGCCGGCCATTGATGGCCATTCCACATAGAACTTGGATGTCCTGAGACTCTCTGAACATGAAGACAAAGTAATGAGCACCTTGAAGGCCAATTGTATACCGTATAGAATTGTGGTGGTCGTCGAGTTTTACACCATGCAGCGCTAAGACACTCGCTGGCACAGTTTCCAACAACAACGGGGTACCCATAACACTATACAAAATCTCGACATTGGCCCAAATCAGTCGATAATTGGTGGTTTGGGGGCTCTCTTGGCTGTTGTTGCAGGTTGCGGAAAAGGGTTCTGATGTTCTCTTTTGGGTCGAGATCATCTGCCAACATATATTTAAATCCAAGCTCCCTCCACTGTTTCAGGGAGGGCCCAACAGACAATACTCTGTCAAGGTCGATAATGTCCTTTTCTTGGTCGAGGAAGTGATAGATTCGCTGAATGGTCTCGGGGGGCAAAGGTATGCAGAGCAGACGTTGCACCTTGTCCTTACGGCAGGCTGACCTGAACGCCATAAAGACGTCTTGATCGAGGGAATGGGATTCTTCGTCAAACGGAGCTTCTTCCATGAAAGGAGAGAGCAGATGACTGTAGCTCTTGAACTGTTCAATCCAAGCCTGCTCGAAATGGACTTGTCTGAAGATGCGTTCGACGATCTGCCAACAGTAGTCGTGCACAGTAATCTCTTGCGATCGCTCCTCTTCGGTCAAGCGAATCATGTCCATGAAATGACGGTGCATTGGTTGTCCCGTTCTACTGTCATCCTCCTCCGTCCCTTCTTCAAGCAGGTAATGCCACGTTTGAGCAGCATCCAGATCAGATTTGCACAAAGGACAATAGATGGACGGATCTGTATAAGGCATTGGTAAATAATCAACGTTGCACAATCATGCAATGTGAATGATTGCTCTAGCGAGTTGTCGGCCCCTTAAATAGATTGAGATGGGTAGAAACAGAGCAATCTCGGTGAAATGTAAATGCGGCGAAGCCGAGCGCCACGGATCGATCCACACTGCCCTGTAGCCGATAAACCAACCTGAAGTACATCTGACGTGCGTACTGTTCTTGCACAAGACCGCTCCATCTTGTCTGGCCCTTGGATAAGAGGGTGAAAGTATCGGAGTAAGCGCGTATAAATCAAAAACCAAAGCCAAGCCCACTTCATACCTCTCAAGAGTTCCTTCGCGCCCATCTTTCTGAGGTAAGCTTCAGTCGCCGCTTAACTTGTCACTCTAGAGCCTCCGGCGTTTAAAAGCCACGTCAATGGCGTGTCAATTTCATAATCCAATGCATTGATATTTGCTCCTCGCGCTAGTAGAAGTTTTGCAGCAGTCAATGAGCCGTACTCAGCAGCCCAGGAGAGGGGTGTCCGCCCTTACTGGTCACAGGAATCCACCTTTTGCTTCCTCTGTAGGAGATAGAGCAGAAGACTTGTGGAGTTCCCCATGGCAGCGTAATTTAAGAGAGACCTCTTGTGGCAATCCCAGACGGAACTGGTCCGGGATCAATGAAACATTCACAAAACTTGGTCAAAGTACACTTGGATGAAAGAAAAAAAGATACGGGGTCACTCCGAGCGTGAGGAATGATCGACTCCAAGGTCGTTGGATAAATATCGTGGAAAGCAAATACGCAGGGAGTCGAGGTATCTATATTCTCTGGATCTCTACTCAACAATCAACTTTGATGCCGGGCAGGAAATGAACGATGCTGGTGCCTATCCTAGTTGAGGCCGGCTCATAGCCATGCATTCATATCACGGGCATTGCTTTTATTCGGTTGACAGCTCCTGGGATGGGTAAGGTTTCAATATGCGGAGCAAAAAAGCCTTTCAAGTTCGATTTTAGGCACATAAAAATCAGAGCCACATTTATGGCTAGGAAAGGGATCACACCGCATATTTGGAACTTGACGAGCGTTATTTGTTCACCCAGACTATTAGATGAAATATTTAGCGTTGAAAGCGACCAGCCTACGCTTTAGTGTTTAATCGGGAAATTGTAGGACGGCCCGAGTACACTCAACCTAGTTCCGTCCACGGAGTCTCTCGTGGTCTATTTTTGCGGGTTTCACCAAATCCAAAAGAATATCGTCGTCATCAGTTAGTTGGTCACGCTTCCGTTGACGTTCAATAAGTTCCAGGAACTCGTTTCTTGACTCTGAACTCTGTTGCTCGTGATCGGCCTCAATATATGCAACGTACTAAATTCATGATGTTGAACGCGCCTCATCTTTGTTCAGAAGAGAGACAGCGTTTTCATATTTGCCACAGACAACATGCAGCCCCTAGATCTCTCAAGGTAAGTCTATAAAAGTCGCTAATGTCCTTCCCTCGTTACTGCGCTTAACTAGAAAACACACTGAATAAACTGGGTACACAATACAGAACTGGACACGGCACACAAAACATCTTCGGATTTCAAGTCTATCCACCTTACCTGAAGATAAAGAAGATGCGTTTCTCTGTCATCATGATTCTCGCTACTGCCTACGCAAGCGGCTCGCTCGGTGGCACTCTAGAGATCATTGATATTGATGGTCAATGCGCGATATGGTCATATGACAACCATGGCTGCACAGGATCTTCAGCATACTTTGGCCGACTCAAGGGAGAGACATGTTCGAGTAAGTGGGTTCTTATAAGAAGAGTTAATAACGATATACTAACGCACTGGCAGCGGAAGAAGTCACAAACGGCACCAATCGCTACCCTGTTCACGGGGTGGAGGCTTGTGGCATGGTGGGAGATTCTTCAGCTGCATGGATTGAAGTGGAAGATTCTGGCCTGGTGAAATTCTTCAATTACCAAGGATCTACATCGACCTGTGCATTCGAAAATGGACTCAAGCATGGCAGTCGGTGCGATGCTACGGATTCGGAATCTTCTACCAAGACGTTGTCGGCTTTGACCACAGAGAAATCTGCGTCAAAAATTTCCGAGTCATCTTCGACCACATTTCAGACATCATCTTCTCCTAGCTGTTCCAATGTTTGAAATGCTGAATACAGATGGAAAGGTTGCCTCGTTCTTAGCACGTACTGTATCGATACAATTTGCGGCTTTGCAGGTACATGGTATTCTTTTTTCTATTTCTAGTTATATGTATTTTTTCAATGCTTGAATACACTGTTTTACGAGGTTATCATGGATCAAGCGCAAAATAGAGAGAGCTGGACCGCAGCAACGTTATTTGACAGAATTAACCCATTGGCTGGTCATTTTATCGGGATTGAAATGTTGAAGCAACTTCAGAATATTTCATTGTCGCCATTCTCACGATTAAAACTAGTTGATCTGTTGAACGCTATTTGGCACCGACATTTAGAATTCTCTGAGACAACAACTATCGAGGTCAGTAATAGAAGTGTTCGATAACTTACTTCAATATGAAAAATCAACCTCTTATTCTCATTTTCCCATTCCAGTTCGATATCACTGCATGCGCTTTGCGGCTCTCCATACCACTGGCTCCACATTTCACCATTTTTGATCTTTATAGCTGTGATGCTACCTACAGAATTTCGACCGAGTACCAAACCCTTGAGATCCTTGATGCGCACATGGTATGATTTGGAAGACCGGGGCTTGAAGCCCAGCAGCTTGCCATCATAAGCAATGCCTGACAGGCAGGGCGATGATGCATAGCTTGAAAATAAAAACTCCAGTCGGCGACAAGTCTTTGCCGGTATGCATTGCTTTCTATTATATGGGCTGGCAGGTAGTTGCGGGTTACTGGCGACAAAGGTTGGTGGCGGGGAATTGTTCATGGCATTGATCGCTTCGTATACATTGTTCCATGCGACACGGAAATTGTAGGTCTTGGGAAACCTGGACTGGTCGCATTCTTTGATGTTCTTAGCTATCCTTTCAACACAAGATCTGACGTTCAGGTTCTTGTCATTTTGCAAGTCGTACTGGTTCCATATAGAGATCCAACAAGCTAGACAATGATCGACTCGTTCAACTTGATCTATTGTTATTTTTTCCGGTTCCTGATCAAGTAGTGCAAAGCCTTTTTGGAAAAAGTCCGGTGCAAAATTGTCTCGACATATATCCTCGTCGGCGGTATCCATAGCAGCCTCCGGTTCTGCAAAAAGGGCATAATCCAGCCCGTTCGTTTCGCAGTTGTAGGGCGTTTGTTTAGCGAAAAGCCTCAGGTTAAAAAGGTGGTTTGCAATCGTGTTCAGTAATTGCTGATCAAAGCTGGAGCGTCCAAGTACCAATTCTGCAACTTTCCAACAGCAAGCATGCACGGCTGGTTGCTCAGTTAAAGAGTTGCGTCGAGCCGAAACAAGATGACCATTGTCCCCCGAAATTTGGAGAGGCTGGAATACGTTTTTCCAAGTGTCTGGCGCGTAATATGAAAGCTCTATCGGCCGGCAGCAAATCCAGCAATATATGGGCGAAGAAAGCCCGAACGGGAAGCTGGTCGTCCTTGGAGGCGGTGCTGTCCTTGGAGGCGGCGCTGTCCTTGGAGGCGGTGCTGTCCTTGGAGGCGGTGCTGTCCTTGGAGGCGGTGCTGTCTCCGGACGAACAGTCGCAGAAAAAGTCATCGCTTAGAAAGAATACTTCAAATCAATTTGAGGTCTCCATTCGACTTAATGAATAACGTTGGGTGAGTGTATGGCGCTCAGGTGCGCGAAGACGGAGAAATAATTTTAAACCAGAGGAGAGGATGGGTCTTTCTACCCAAGTCATTGACTAAAATTGAGAGGCTGCGCTAAAACTAATTAGTTCGACACTTCGCATGTAATCTTTTTAGCTACAGTAGTGGAAAGCAAAGTGGCGAAATCGACTACAACCCTTGCCGCAGCTTCCGGGACCACGTTCGATTCCAGACGAATGCCCGCGTGGTCATACAAGCCTGATTGATACCTTCGAGCCACCAAGATACAAAAGCCTAGGCCATCCATAGCGCTACTTTGAGTAAATGAAGGATAATATCTTTGGAGTGTAGGTTCGCTGAAGGGATACTTGAACAACAAAAAAATAAAATTATAAAATATAAAATTTGGTAGAGGTTTCCATTTACTCATGTCGGTCCGGGTTATCTCCGGGCACGGTCCGCACGTTGTGGACCCTTCATGTTTACTTTTCAAATTGGTTCTTTCCTTCAGTACGCACACTGACTGGGCTGGGGATGCCATGATACCGTCCAGATTTAACTTATGATTTGAGCAATCTACCTGGGGCTTCAATACCCTGCTAGCCCTAACGAAGAAGGTTCGACGAATTCAAGGTTATCAGAAGATTGAAGACAAACTAGAAATGTGGATTGACAATACTGTAGGGGTAATGACGTTGGTCTGGATTAGCCGGAATGGGCCTGATCCGCGCACGGAGGATCGACCCTTTGATGGTTACCCCTGAAATTCAATGCCTGGTCTTTTTTAGCCCCTATCGCCTCCCCTGAGCTGGGATCCGGTAAAGCTACCACGGTACATATGGAAAAATGTCATGAGACTGGCAGAGTAGCTTGATAAGTATCGAGGTGAGAAATCAAGAACATAAGGCATTTTAAGACAATTCCCGCATCGTAGAAAACTGAACAAGGAAGGAGGCAGGGAGGTCCTTACACTCCAATCTCCGTAGTCGGCGATCCATGGCTCCAACGTGGGGGCCAGATTCATAGAGGTCTGGCGAACCGCCAACGGCGTCGAAAGGTGCGGGATCTGCCGCAGCACAGCCATATTCGGTACAGCAATTTCAGGCTTTGTGGAAATTAGCCAAAGACACTGAGAAGCTCATACTTTCCGTTCTACCCGATACTCTATACCCACAATAATCTAGAGCGAATTTCGGGTTGCCCATCGTTTAGCCATACCCTAAGAAAGATAGTGCGTAACCGGGGCAAATTCGACACTTCCGAAACGGTGAACCATGGACGGCCCACATGCCCAGTTCACATTTAGAATCGAATCGTACGTGGAGATCGGAACTGGAATAGCTTTGCTCATCGATTCATTCATCCCTTTGAAATTGCGAGACTCTTCGCCGTTCGTTTGTTCACTGATACGGACGTAGGTTGGTCTGCAGCTCCAAAGTCTTGTGTTCGTGTTGGCGATCAACGAACGGAGATCGCTCCAGATTGCATGCTATGTGGCCGGGCCCACCCATGCTTTTGTCACGAGGTGACACCAGCCCAGATGGAAGGCCATAGATCGCCAGCCGCTCATTGAGAGAGATCATCGCATAATACCTTGTGGAATGATCCAAAGCGGCAAAGACACACCATCGACGCGCTTGGACAACAATTTGCTGACGGCACCCACACGACGCAAATTCCATCCCACTCGGTACTGTGGCAAGTCAGCTTTGGGTACTTTGATGTGCTTTGATGGCAAACGGTGGTAGACTGGTGAACTTACCTATTTTCAAGTAGAGAAGCTCCGACCTGTCGATGAAACACTCCTCCGCGTGGAGAACAACTCGGTACAGTGGGCCCCCGCCAAGCTTTCGAAACGATTCTGCCTCATTGTCTTCCCAGGTGACCAGCAGGCCTCCTGAGTGGGGTGTGAGTTTGATGCTATGCGGCATAACCCGAAGGAGACGACTGATATGACGCATATATCGCATCTCAGTCATGCGCAGCGTCGGGGATGGTTTGAACATCGAAGAAATCGAGAGACACAAGATCTCCTCTACGATGTGACTGCAGAAAAACGGCGCATGCTTTTCATTTATGGCAGCAGGAAACCATTTTCGACACGATGCGTCGTGGTGCGTCGCATCAAAATCCAACCATCGATGATGAATCTTCAACGCACCTTGTTCAGCGTTGTATAACACGTCAAGCCTCCGAGTCAGTCCTTTGACATAGAACACTTTGATATGACTTGTCGTTTTCAATAGGGCCAGACAAGCTTTCAAAGCCCAGGCTGTTGTTTTTGCAAAGGTAGACTCGGGCAAAGCACAGATCTCGGCATCTTTGAAAAGCTCTACCTGTTCCTCCTCAATGGTCCGAATTCCTGAACCTGAGCGCAGCAGGTTCCAGAGGGCTTTGGGAAGTCTTGTTGGTGTCTTCCCGGTGGTTTCTCGTATCATGCCCACACTCTGTTCAAGGTTAGTATACATCATATCTAGCTTGGACATTTCACCGCGAACTGACTTGGACGCTTGATGTCTCGCAATAAAAAAATCTCTTTCTCCCTGCCACACCGAGAAGGTGTTTCCAGATACGAGTCTTGAGAAACGGCTCCAAAAGTATATCAGCGTGGTCGACATCGCCCACATGGGGAAAGTTTTGGAGGAGATTGACATAGATTGGAAGCAAGGTCTGCTCGTGCATACGCAAGGCACACTGCCATATTTGTAGCACCTGCTGTGCCACTCCACACGAGGCGACCAGTTCTTGACGATCACGGCTGAACTTGCCCCGAGTAAGGTTGTAACCAAACTTGAGGGGCTTGAACCCCGAATTTGCTACCGGTAGCAGAATCCCATGGAGAAAAAGCCTTCCGTGAAACTGCAGATCCAAAACCAAGTCTCCATGGGGTGTTTCTACAATCGAGGAAGGATAGGAGAGTCCGCGGATATCGAGGGTGACTTGAAGCCATTTGAAAAACGTTTCAGGTGAGACCACTGGACTTTGTTTGGCACGTCCAGCCCCAATCAACACCGTAATGTCTCTTTCAACCCGGAAGCGCAAGTTTGCCATATCATCAGCTGGCTCTCGTTGAATGGCAGGACTCATCTTCCGGGAAGGAGTAGTGACACAACGGAGAGACTGGTACTTTCCATGCAGACCAAATTGCCACTTACACTGACTTGCAGCCACGCTCACTCTATACCCCTTTCGACTCAGTACCAACGCAGCTAGTTTGAGCCCCTCACCATGAGAGCCTGCCAGCTGGTCGAGATCGTTTTTGGATGTGAATCCCATCACGAGAGACTCGACAGGAAGTTGCATGCAAGCATTGGTCAGTGTGACTTGACCAGTCTTTTTTTCATATTTGATGAACCCTAGAGCTCGACTGTTGCCGTTTTCGTCTGAGCTAGTAGGGACTATGATGGAGAAATGGTCTTTTTTGTCTTCCAAAAATGGCCTAAAGTCCAGTCGCTTTAGCTGGAATCTTTCGAGAATGGCATCTTTCCTATTTTCGCTCAGTGCTTATCCAATGAAAAAGAATGCCGCATACCAGTTTTGATACAGCTCGCGAAAAGCATCGGTAGTGTCCCAGCCATTTACATAGGCAGGTGAAATTCCAACTGTGACAGTTTGCTGTGACAACTCAGTCGCTGCGCGAGTATTTCCCGCGCTCTGTTGTAATTCTCGATCCAGCTGCAGATTCGCTTCGTCGCTCGTGCTCGTGCAACTATCTTGCTCCATGGGATCCTCATCGGTGTGATTACTCATTGTTGCATTTGGAGCATTGCAGCTGAATGAGTTATTTTCTTTTTCTGTCTCTGAGCCGTGCGCCTGTTATTTATGCAGCTCTCTAACCTTCCTCGTGGACATTTCCTCTACCCGTTGAGCGTGGTGAGCAAAGCCATCCTCATGTTGCATGACGGAAAGTTGAAGCTGTTACATCGAAATATCGCAATAAACCAGTTTGCACTCACGCCTCACCATAATGATACGAATAGTCAGACGGTGATATCAAAGATTGTTCGGATTGACTTAGTAGGTCCCCTCGCGTTGACTTGACATTCAACGTTGAATACCCGGCATGTGATCCAAGAAACGCCCTCATGGCTCCGTGAATACACTAGCGTGCCAATCGTTGAGCTCAGTTCAAGTAAATTGTGAAGTCGACATGTCCGGAAATGAGGAATGAATCGTGTTGAATCCGTTTCAATATTCCAGAAACAGAAAGCCGACATTGACACAACTTTGAAAAGGCCCGAGCATGTGCGGTCACCCAACTCCATTTGCAAGTACACAGCGCGTCGTTACCATGACTCCGGCAATATATAGTAAAAATGGGTTTAGATTCATATTCCAACAGGCTGCCTGAAATGTTTATCGAGCAGTACTTTAGAGCTATAACAGAGGGACTGAGCGTGGTGGCACCGGTCACAACACGAAAAACCGGATCAATGAACGTTTCGTTTCCGCCCAAGGGCCATCAGCAACCATATCATGAGGAAACTTTCCATCATCAGAAATAGCATTTCGATCAGCGCCGGCCTTTAACAATTCCCCCGCTGCTTCCCACGTCCCTTCTTTGGCAACAATCCTATGCAGTGGCGTGAATCCAAGCATATCCCGAGAGTTCACATCAGCCCCGTATTGAATGAGAAGTCCGACAATCTTGTCAACATTTTGTGCTTCGGCGGCGTGATGCAGAGGGGATCTGCCGGTCTTGTCTCTCGAATTAACATAGCTTCCGTGTTCGAGTAGAATCTCTGTTGACTCAATAGATCCGAGGCACACAGCAAGGGAAAGAGGTGTCAGACCATCGATATTTTGAAATTGAACATCAGCCCCAAGTGACAGAAGGGTTCTTAGGCATGCCATGCCTTGTCGGTTCCAGTAGTTCCTGATAGCGTAGAAGATCGGTGTCTCACTATGCTTGCCGCCGACCCAATTAACATCAGCGCCGTTGTCAACAAGCCAGCCTATCATACCGGGACACCAGCTTGATGAAGAAGCAGCCAAATGAAGAACTGTTTCTCCGTTGATATCTGTAGCCGTGATACTGGCACCACATTCAACAAGAGCATGCGCTTGTTTGATGGCGCTCTGAGAGACAGCATGGAGTAACGGCGTTTTTTGGGCGTGATTTCTTGCATCGAGCTCGGCTCCATGTAGAAATAGTGTTCGAATGATGCTTTTTCGGCCATTTCCAGGAATGCTGGGATTCGTTGCCGCGTAGAACAGTGCACTCCACCCTTTCCAGTACTGATTCTGATTTTTGAAGTTCGGATTGGCGCCGTGATTTAGTAACAGTCGCACAGCGCGGGTGCATGAATGATCAGCTGCGACTTGAAGTGGCGTTCTGCCCATATTGTCTTGAGACTCCAATTGAAGACCAGAGCCTATGAGAATGTGGATAATTCCGGGGGTAGTGTTCTTGGAAGCTGCCACGTGCATGAGAGTCATCCCGGTCCGGCGTTCCAAGATGTGTGTAACAGCCCCATATTTCAAAAGCAATACAACTTTGGATTCCTGATTTGAACGGATGGCCTCTTGTAGTGGAGCATGTTTGTCAGATGCAACAGAATTAGCCATGGCTCCATGCTCTAAAAGCAACTTGGTGATCGCCACATCGCTGCGACCCTTTGTCGCCAAAATCAAAGGTCTTCTGGATCGGGAATCGGCCACATCTGGCAAAGCCCCATTCTTAAGAAGGGCTTCAACGACACTAGTATGCTTCAAAGAAACCGCTTCCAGAAGAGCTGTCGACTGTGCGCGATTTGGCGATCGAACGTTGACATTCACGCCCGCACGAAGCATATTCTGGACTCCAAGTTCGTCCTCACGACCTGCATACCATACAAGGGCCGATCCACCATCTGAGAGGATGTTCCTTTGGTAAAGCTCATTGATCAAGAGATAGTAAAGCCTTTGGCTTGTTCGGAGGAGGCTGAGAATATCTTTGGACGAGTTCAAATGGCTTGAAATGAGCAATGCGATCTCCGGTGGGAGGAGTAAAAGAGACATTGTGAGACGCTTGCACAATGGCTGACCAGCCACTTAAAAAAATGAGTGTACCGACGTTTCCAATGTTGCTTGAGCTGAGCAGACCAAAATTGGATGGTTTTTGTGCATCAGGCGGTAGGAAAAGTAGAACAGAACAAAAATGAGACACAAACTCCATCGGTGCTTGTTATATATGTAGCAAGAGCAATTAAGTTGATTCGTCTGGTCCGGATGGTGTTGAGGCGTTGACATTTTCATGTGGCCGACCTTGACAGTCATTATACCAATTGAATCCGTCCAATAACCCCTTCCATGAAGGTCAAGACTGGATTCTCCATGATAAAAAGTATTATATAACGTGATCAGTATCATTATTGCCAATATTTCGAGATTTCCTTGGGTATTTGAAGGCAAAAGCGATCCTTTTTCCGAATACCCGGGCAATCCAGAGATAAAAAATATTCGTTGACCAGGTATGATGGCCTTTGGTTTAAGGAACATCTAGGAGTCTTAGGTGATGTCGCAAAACTGTGTATAAGAACTCTGTTGATCAGAGGCAGTTTTGGGCTACATTCAATCTTCTGATATACTGTAGAGATAGCGAGCGGGGAATTAAATAACTTCCTTGCTTACTGTCAATGAAATTTGGACTTCTCATTTTCGTTGTGCTGGTAGACGAATGTATTCAACGACGGCCACAGAAAGTTCCACCATCTCGTTAATGAAGTCTGAAATACCTCAACTGTCGCAAAGCCAACAACACCCGAGACAAGTTCTCAGAAAAATGATGTGAAGCAGTTGAGCTACCAAGGGCCGGGATCTGCTTCCTTGTCGATCGCCCCACCGTGCGACATTGCAACGCTACAATCAAATTCTGCTGGTACCCTGGTCACACGCAGAAAATGATTCCATGGACCTGTAATTTACAACAGTTGACTTACTCAGGCATACAGTATGGGTTTGTTATTAAAAAACTCTAGTCCCATTATTATTCCAGTTGCTTTCCCACCAAACAGACTCATCGTGAGACCCATCGTCTGCTCAATCTTTCCAGAATGGTACGTTCAAGGCGTCAAATTAGGCGCCGGAGACAAGGGAAATTCCATTCACAGGTACCAATGCTGCCGGAGCACGAAGCTTTGACAGCCAGGAATGTCCCGCGCCGCGGCCAATCGCGAGAAGTGCAATCACATCCATGTGCTTCTATGCAGTTAAATTGGAATGATACAACGACCAATAAACAAAGCCAGCCGGGCACAAGCCCTGTTTCTTTCACATCGAGTCAGTATGTGGCCGGAGGCACTTTGACCAGATCTTGGCTATCTCAGCCTGAAAGTAAGCGGTAAGAACCCACAGCCAGGTTCCCAATCTGAAGGTCGTTTCTAACGCTCACAGACTGCTAGATCAATTGGCTGAATGTTGCCGAGGGGAGTTCAATACCATATTCAGTAAGTCAAAGCTACAAATTTGGGAACGCGCCGACTAATCGGCGTGGAACAACAGTCCTACAAGGTCTGCACTCACTTCTCGGAGTCCCAATGACAACCATCCCATTCCGCGCACAAAATCTTATTCTACGAGCCATACAGCGACATCTTGAACTCGATTCATTTCACTTCGTTCACAAATGCCTCTTGGAGGAGTCTCTCATGGCTGGGTGGACATGCCCAGAGGAACTGGAGCTACACAAGCTTTTCAAATTCTTGGTGAGACATTAGAACAAGATACAGTGCATCTCTTGCCGTCAAGCTGCTACTGGCATACAAAAATGGCAAAGATTGATTTCTGGCATCCGCCACGCTGCTGTCCACCGTCTTTCACAGGATCGTGAATCTCTCCTCCAAATGAACCGCGTTGCCATTGAATTTTCACTTTGTATCGGTGCAATTTCAGGTGCGGAGACGCTTTACCAACTCCTGAAGTTCCTGGAAGAAAGACTCCCAGATTCAGAGTGCCGTCGAGCCGAGCCAAGGCGAAATTTCAAACATCAACCTTCTTTGCCAAGGCTGCGCCTGCAAGATCTGAAAGACAGATTTCTGTTGCTGCCGAAACACACCTAGAGAGTTCTTCACCAGATTGAAGCGATATACAACTCAGAAGTGGAGACTTTTGTACAAGCGGTATTCAGATGACATCTACTCATGGTTGCAGTCTCTTGATGCCGAAATATGACCAAATGCTGTGGTGGATCTGGCAAGGCACAAATATAGAATGATTTGTTGACAGGCCGAAAATACTGCGTTTGCAAGTCAATTGATAATAAAATCCCAGCAGCGACTCAAGGGCTAGCAGATCAAGTATATTCAAAGCTTTGCCCCAAAACAGAAACTAGAATGACCTGTAAGCATCCAGCACGGATTGCGTGACGCCAGCATTGCTTTCGTACTGAGGCAGCAGATCACTGTCACATCTTGGACGTGGAATCATGTGCACCGTATGCGCGTTGACAGTGTATAAGAATTCACGGTACTTCAAGTCTTCCCGAAGAAAATTAGAGCATGGTAGCCAGTGAACACCCGAAAACCGAGATATCTGGCTTATGGTTAGCTGAGGAAAATATGACTGATTAGATTTAATCGAGTCGGTGGGAGAAAGCAGAGCGATTGTTAGAATCAAGCGAACACGTTGTCGTCGACGGCCCCAGTCGCAAGGAAATGAAGTTTGCCACAAACCGTGGTTCCACGAACGGGACCGCAAATCATTTGGACAGCTGAATCTGGATGAACCATGGAGACGCCCTTTCGGTGAGAGAATGCAGCCGTCCCGGAGAATTGATGTTTGGGCCTCTGCACCGCTTGCTTCCCATGTTACTCGTGATTAAGCCCGACAGCTGAAGAAAATGAAGAGGACTGGGTCAGATTCACCACAGTATTGACCTGCTAATGTGCGGTAATTTAGAAAAGATGAACACTGCACTGAAAATAGTGTGTATCGCCAGAGTCATGATCCAGATGTGCAAGGGGATTGAAATAAAGTTGGGGCGTAGAGGGCCGGTCCACAACGTCGACTCATGCCGGGAGCCAATCGGTTTCTCTGGCTATTGGTACAAACCACGGAGACATGGTTACGTAAGCTCGTGGGGTCTGCCCATGATTGGCATATTTTCTACAAGCCATCTGCTGGATCACACTGGCAATCGAATTGAGTAGATGGAGAGGATGTGTTAGACGTGAAGAAATCATGTAGTTTCTACGAGAGGGGTTAATGCGGGACAGAAGACATTGTTTCTAGAACGTTCTACAGACCAGATAGACAATGAGCAATGTGCCACTTGACTGGAGAGCTTATTCTCCAGTGGCAGCCACCACAAGATTGGATCGGGTGTAGCCTACCAAGCTGATTCCAGAACTTTTGTGATATTCCAAATGCCCCCCCTCGACCATACCTTAATTTTGTCCCTTAAGCAACAAACCTCGGTTCCATCAACACTGACAGACGTCGATTTGGGCCAGTGGATCGTGTCTAGACTTGTGCAGATCCTCCCAGCATCTTCTCCGGACCACGGATAGAACTGCCTTGATCTACCATCCCGTGGCTCATCACTGGGATTGTATCGCAGAACCGTACCTGCGTCTGTCTAAATCCGCGTGCGCTGTTTGATTGGTTATTCATCTTCAGGGTCCCAACAATGTGATAGTAGCGTTGCAATCTTGCGACAGGTGGCGATCACGAGAGCTTCGCGGTGAGCCTTGGTTGAAGGAGTGCACGTGGTTGTCCTGGAACATAGGCACTGTTTCATCTTATGTGCTCGTCAATTCGACCAAGACTTTGATTATTGTCCCCAAAGTCGACATGGCTGATTGATATGTACGTTCTAGCAGAGTGGTATCTGGCTTTCCACAGACCAACCCACATGGCAGGGACAATTCAAAGCAAGCATTAAGTACTTCAGCAAGCAAGATAGAAATCATTGTCGACGTGTAGACATCACAAGAAGACAAAACGCTTTCCGGCTTCTCACATCATATGTAGATCATTTCGCTGACAGGGCCTTCGAAAGAGACGCGCTTTTTGTGACACCGTTCTTTCGGTCCGTAATGGGACGAGACAAGCACGTTCTGGAGGACTTGCAACTCACGCTTGAGAACGTCCAAGTGTGCAGCAAGACTTTTCGGCGTGATTGAGCGCCGCAGATCCTTGTTCTTTCTCGCCCTGTATCCATCTGTCAGCGAGTCTCTTGTATATGTAATCAAATTGTACAATCTAGATCGGAATAAATGAGGCAGGATAGGCAGAAAGCATGCAAGAACGGTGTACTGACTTCATTCGCCTGGAAGGTCTGAAAATAGTTGGTTAGAACATCGCAGTCGATGAAGCACACGATAATGAAGGTGGTCACTTACTGCGTGGTGGAAAGTGCGCGACTGTGCAGGCTGCTCGATGGATGATCGACAGTCACTGATTCTTGACTATGTTCGATTGACTCTCCGAAGCGGCGCTCGGTCCGAAGTTGATTCTCTCTGCCGGCTGCTACTCCCTCAGTTTTGATCTGCATGGAGGCAGCGGATTCGGATTGGCATTCATTCCCAGTCCGATAGCGAAGATTGTGTTCTTCCAGCATTTCAGAACTTGTGCAGTAGATTTTCGAGGCTGGTGCTACCGACTTCGATGAGCCGCATGCAACACGTCAATGGTTCTAGGAGTCTGTCAGAATTTGCAAGAGAGACAACCCTTTTTCATGAGTGAATGAACTTTGACAGAAAACCAACTTTATTTTGTATTTCAAGCGGGTTGAAAATTTGATTGCGAGGCTTTGCTAAGCAAAGGAACATTGTTTTTGTGTCACTTTGTGCCCAACAATTGCGGACAGGGTTTGAACACAAAAGATGTTGAACTTCCACATATGTGCGTCCATGGGAACCAAGGGTGTTACTTCATGGCGAAGTAAGCTCACCATGGGCACGGCCAAGCGTGAACATCGCTCAGAAAGTCCAGAACATTATTTTACCATTATCGAAAGTTTCAATCATCTTCCATAAGACTCTGACTCATAGCCGGACTAGGTGGCACCCTGTTGAGCGATTTAATTGCAAATTCAACGATGTGTAAAATTCATATGATTGCGGCATGACTCTTCTCAACAGTTGATGAAAGTTGTTCACCACACCCAACGCAGAATTTTGAGAGAAATGATTTCAGGACAATTCTTGACTCTGTAGGCCACAAAGTCTCGAAACATCCTTTCGACGTCGTTCACATCACGTCAACGCCCATCAAATACCCAATTCTCGCTACCATCTGCGCATGTGGTTCCTTGGTAGAGACGTAGCCGAAAATGTATAAAAGAGGCCCAATTCCCAGCCGAAAAAGAATCAGGACTTCAGTCCTCACACTCCGATGTGTCATGGTGTCCGTCTTGCCTACGGGCTTGAGGGTCTCCATGACCACGGCTTTCGCTGCCACGAGCCCAGCGATGTAAGACTTGTGCTCCCTCGCAGCCAATGAGCCCTGTGATTGTAAAAATGTGCTCCCTCACAGCCAATGAGCCCTGTGACTGTAAAAATGTGCTCCCTCACAGCCAATGAGCCCTGTGACTGTAAAAATGTGCTCCCTCACAGCCAATGAGCCCTGTGACTGTAAAAATGTGCTCCCTCGCTGCCCTGAGCCCCGCGAGTGTAAGAGTGTGCTCCCTCGTTGCCCTGAGCCCCGCGAGTGTAAAAATGTGCTCCCTCGCTGCCCTGAGCCCCGCGAGTGTAAGAGTGTGCTCCCTCGCTGCCCTGAGCCCCGCGAGTGTAAGAGTGTGCTCCCTCGTTGCCCTGAGCCCCGCGAGTGTAAAAATGTGCTCCCTCGTTGCCCTGAGCCCCGCGAGTGTAAAAATGTGCTCCCTCGTTGCCCTGAGCCCCGCGAGTGTAAAAATGTGCTCCCTCGCTGCCCTGAGCCCCGCGAGTGTAAAAATGTGCTCCCTCGCTGCCCTGAGCCCCGCGAGTGTAAAAGGTGCTCCCTCGCTGCCCTGAGCCCCGCGAGTGTAAAAATGTGCTCCCTCGCTGCCCTGAGCCCCGCGAGTGTAAAAGGTGCTTCGCAGGACGAGCTCTGCGTCAACAAATGTGCTTCGTAGGGGATTGCTGCGTTAACAAGACCTCTAGCGATGTGCAGTCACCTCTTCGTGGTGCTAGGGACCAGTATTCAAGTATTCAAGAGTACTCGAAGAAGCAAAGATCTGCGCACCATCTTGATGTACCTCTTATTAGGAAGGATCATCATTGGAGAGATAGAATGAGCCCTAGATAGATGCAAACCAATGGTCAGAGTCCTAAATTCAAGCGTCAACCTTAGTTATCGAGTGCCGTATTCCCAACCCTCTTGTCTTCACGGTTTGCGGTCGGCTAGTCTTCCTGCCGCAATAAATTGTATCTGCTATCAAGGCGTGGAGCGAACAATATGGTGAGTATTTTGGTGCGTCGTGGATGTGTTGACCGGGCGTTGATGAACGTTGATGCACGTTGATAAACGTTGATGAGCGTTGACGATAGTATGGACGAGGGTGCTGATGTGGGTATTGTGGTATATGGCCAGGCGGTGAAGTTGAGTGATGGTCACTAGACTTCAGCAAAGCCCAACCAAGCCCCGCAGGGACCTGCATCGCAGTACCGTGCCTACGTCTGCCTAAATGCGCTTGTTGTTTGATTGGTGTAACCGGTGCTTCATGTGTCCAGAGTTTCACCGGTATCATAGCAACGCGACAATGTTTGAGAAACGTGAAATTCGCGAAGTAGCGCGTATCTATCGTGTTCAATCAAGTGAAATTGCAACTAATCTCCAGTCACCCTAGCTGTTGACGATTAGGATTCTTTTGAGGGTGGACACCCCCTCTGCCTTGCACTGCGTTTCCAAAAATGGTTCCACGAAATCCCACTTCTTCATAAGAGCCTGCACCTTCCTTTTGAGAGCTTCAACTTCCCCTTCCAAGCATTCGATTTTCCTTGTTGCACAGTCTTCGTCTTCTCGAAACCTGTGATGTCTTAGCAGTCTTCCTCTTCTTCATATATAAGCCCGGACCCAGAATGAAAGAGGGGGTTGAGATCGGGCTCTAGCGAAGCCCGTGAAATAGACATACCTCACTCGTCGAATCGGCCTGCGGTCACTAAGTTAGTCATGAACATGGTGCCAGTCGTACTGTACGTGTCACTTACTTCGTGGCTGCATTTGTATGCGCCTGGGGACGTCTCTTGAGGGAGTCTTTCTCAGTTAGACCATGTCTCTTCTCGACGGGTTCGGGTGGTTCATCGTGAGCGTCATCGTTCTCTGGGTGGCCAGGAGACTCAGAATCTTCTGAGGACTCCTCTGCCAGAGCCTTTGATAATCGGGATCGGGCATTAAAACTCTCCATTCGGCGCTTAGTTCGCCGCTGCGAATAGTCGTACATCGTAGAGAGCTGTTGTTGAGTGAGGAGAAGGGGATGTTACGAAGGATGCCATGTGAACCATAATCCCAGAAACACGCTGACTCATCGTGGATGAAACGATATAAACTTGGTTTCGTATTTTTGGGTGGTGAAAATCAAGGTTGCTGAATATTGGCTTGTTGAATAGACCTAGCCGACCCAGCCGTTGAATGTTGAATGGTAGGACACACTCCAGAAGAGACTCTCAACACGTGCTAGAGCGAGAAGAATTTTGAAAAACGATCCAGCGTTGAGTTTCTTTCATGCGGGCGCCAGTACGTTGAAAACCTTTCATCCCAATCAACGCATGGATTTGAGACGAAAAGTTTACATGAGCCTAGCGGTAGTACTGTGCCCCTCGGCGAACCAGAGTAGTCACGGGCATAGTGGAGGCTTGGATCTGCACGCCCCAAACCGTGGAAAACACAGAATAAATCCCAACAACCGTTAAATTGTTTCAACTCTCATCAACGAGACAGTGATTCTCGCTAGGATGTGCGCAACTGGCTCCTCTGCAGAGACGTGGCCAAAAAGATAAAAAAGGAGCCCGATTCCCAGCCCGAAATATTCAGGACTTCGGTTCTCACACTCCGATGTGTCACGGTGTCCCTCTCGTGCCTGCGGGCTGGAGCGTCTTCGTGGCCACGGCTGTCGCTGCTTCGAGCCCTGTTGTGCTGTGACGCTGTTTCAGTAGGATGTTTGTTATGCCAGTGTGAAGTGAAAGTAGAGATTTAGAGCTGGTGTGTTGACGTGTTGACGTGTTGACGTGTTGACGTGTTGATATTGATGCCGGTGTGGTGAAATGTGCAGTAATCGGGCGGTGAAGGGACTGGTGATCAACGCACATACAGGTTCGTCACCCTCCGCTTGTTCGAGAAAGCCACACTGGGTGCGCAGGGCAAGTTCGCAGGACAAAAAACGCGGGTGACGAACCTACCTGTGTTAGCATTGTACAATCGTATTGGAGGACTCCGTCGTTCAGTGTGCGAAGGTGGTGAAGTTTCTCATGAAGGAACAGTTTATTAGTCGTACATCTTAATTGATGCCTAGTGAAACCCATCTTTACTATTTACTGCCAGTATTCGAAGCGAAACTTTTGTACTGTGCATTCGCTTTACATATGCAATTCTCAGCTCTCATATCTATTTTTTGGGTGTCTTTCTATGATTTATGGGCTACTAGGAAGGAGCCAAGGGCAGTTGCGGATATATATCATTGATGTCTTGCTAAGACTACGCAAATATGATATGAACGCAGTCAATCAGCCTCGTCAGTAGTCGCAGCGATTGCCTTCATCAATATACTATGATCAAGTGAAATAATACCTGAAGATCCGATTTACCAACCTGCTACGCGCTCTGCCGGCGATGAAGCTCTGATGCCCGATAAATGACGCAGCGCCGGTTCCTGCACGAGCGTTTGAAGACGACCTACATGATCTGCGTATCACGCGATTGGCCATGCCAGTCAAGCTCATAGTCGGACTGTGACACGTGAGGCCAAGAGTATTGATTTGGGTTCTGGTCCCCACGCCACTGCGAGGATGCGGGTCTCTAGCCGTTTAATCTTGTACGAACCACGTCTGTATGTAATTCTATTTCGGCTTTAATTACTGTACTATTCCTATGAATGAAATTGTACAACCATGGGCTAAAAATCCAAGCATTAATCCGGAATAACTTGATGCACAGTCCTTGGTGACTGTGGTCGGATGATTGGCGTCTCTGAAGGTCATGGCTCACAGGGCCTACGTTTAGTGTCATGGAATTGTAGCTGAAATTCTGCAGCCTTAGGCACCAGCCTGAGAGCATGTGATCTGGGGCCATGGGTCAATGGGGCTTTCAGTCTGCCAATTGGCGTCTCGTACCCGTGGCTGCCTGAGGTCTCCAGAATTTTCCTCCATATATGTTTAAAATTTTGACTTCTCCTACAGCTCCTCCTACATCTCAGGGTTTATCGTTCCCGGGAATCGAAGACTGCGTTCCTCTCGGAATATCTAGGGAAAGGGTCTCGTCGACGGATTTTGCGTGAAATTACAGCTGGATGTACATTACATGACATCGATCGATATATTGCTACATGCTTAAAATATGTAGGTCTGTTGTAGCGACCGCGCCAAGTTCTTACAGTATACAGTAATACTGTATGTATGCTCCAAGAGAATGGGAGGTCTATAATAATGATTACAGGAAGGGAGCGGAACGGAGAAGAGATTCACATGACGAATATGCTCCTGATTGGTTCCTGGTCTTCGGTCTGTTCTCACAGAACTAATTTCGTCTCAAGAGGATTCTCTCAAGAGCCATTTCATCTTGGAAGAAAGCTTCTGGTTCCTGCGTCCCAAGCGTCATCCCTTTTTGAGACGCTCGATCTGGAATGACCTTATCGTCAATATCTTCTTGGCACCTTATCTACGAGAGGCTCTACATAGGCCAACGATAGACACAGATGATCTTTTCCATTCCGTCCAAACTCTTGGAAGGTTTCGTTTGGGTCTACATCGCTCCTGTCTGTCAACCACTCTTGTTTTGGGCCACATATGTCCATATCAGATTTGAAAGGGTATTCATAACCGCCGCCTACGATGATGTGTAATTCTATTCTTGATGATTTCTTCACGATAGTCGATCTCTGACTGCTCAGCGGCCAAGTTGACGATAATAGGATCCGTGGCCGGGGAAATCTTGCTTTTGCCTGAGGAACATGTATTCGTCATGTGCCGTTCCCAGGAACACAAAATGACACAGGATCAAAGGTAAGAGAGGCCAGGAACGGTCTGGCTCGCTCTCAGGGATGATGGGTACGGTTATTGGAGGACATTTAGCTCCCAGAAGCCGACAGCATAGATCCTAAAAGCGATTATTGATCCAGAAAGTGTACTGTATGCCACATCACGCATTGTGCATCATGCAGGTGATCTGATCAGAAGCACGTAAAGGGTGCGTGAATCCCTGTAGTCTACATTGGTGCCTGTTGAAGGAGGCTACCTCAGGTTTGATACGAGGCAAAGAGAGGTGCGACAATCTTGTCGGAGCGGGGAAAAGAATTCTCGCTGGTAGTTTGGGGGGTCGCAAGGTATTAGATGATGCACGAACATCAGAACAAGTGGAGACAAATAAGCCAATAAAATATAATAAACAACAACACCCTCCCTTTTCTGCGAAGGTGGTGATCAACTAAACAACTAAATTTCTTCGAACAAGTAAATCACTTTCACTACCGTCAGCAACCTGACTCCCTACTAATCAACGGATTTCGAGTTCATCGTGTGCAATGGTCAACCCACGTCCAGCATCAACCAACCCATCCAAATTCATCAATCACATTTCTTGGAGGCCTCCGTTTCCTCACTCTGATATGACGAGAACGTTGATTCGGCCTCTCAAATCTTCAGCACCGCCGCAGTTAGTTACCATTCCCTTTCTTGTTCTGGTCTAAACTCGGCCAGCTTCCTGATTCACCTACGATATGCTGGTTTAAGACTCATCGCTCCTAGGATCGTAGTCACGGCATCTGGGAGCTTAATATCCTCTAGGAATCGTACCTGTCACTCCTGGGAGCGAGACAGATCGTTCCTGGGCTCTCTACCTTGGATCCTGGAGCCCACTCGTCCGTTCACAGGAGTCTCTAGTCTTCTGGCACTGTGTTTAAGCTTCCCAGGATGCACTCTCATCGTACAGAGGAATTCTACAGGGGCAAGATGATCCAAGAAGTACATTCGTATATAACTAGAAGGTGGGCAAAGGCAGGAGCAGAGAAGAGACTCGCTCTTACCTGGTGGCTGATGTGATTAGCTTCTTTCGTAGCATCGTTCAGACCACCGCTGCACTTGAGTTCACTAGATACTGTATGCATGCAATGACTCGCATTCTCTACAGTACCTGGAGGACAGTGCATGAATCACTTTTCACCGTTTTTTGCGCCCTCAGTTTTGAAAATTCCGAATAATGTTGCTGCTTCACCGCCCACCATTTTCCTGTCCCGCTGACCTTCAGTTGAACTCACAACTAAAAAGGGCCGGTGCAAATAGTCCCAATTCAAAGATAAAATTTTTTGATCAACCGGGTATCAACAATATTTATGACTCGCAAAATCAGGGGTGGAGGGCTACAGCCGCGGGGGAGGGGAAGAGAACTCGGAATATTCGTTCAGCCGAAAGCCGATGTGATATGAATTGGCCTCTCTCAGCGACACTCAGAGTGCCTCTAGTCCAAATTAGGTGCCTAGAGGAAGAACAATATGTTGTTGAGCCAATAATGAACTCGCCTGTGGTGAAGCAATATGGACAATGCTTCGAGCCTTGGGAATTTTAATAGCGGTGAGCTTAGTTATGTATTCTTAGTTGCGTTTAAGCTCAATTTGTTGTGGGAGAAGACCGTTGAAATATCTAGGTGGGAGTAATAAAAATGAGGCAAGCAACGCGGTTCCTTCAACCCAGGGGTGTTCCACCATGTTTCATCTGATGGAGAGGAAGGTCATTTTTGATCGGAGAAATCGTCCCATCAGCTTTCTTCCCTTTTTGTACTGGAAAGCTTGGCCGTCAACGCCCGCTTCAAGTTGAGGACTCAATCAAGGACTACCGCAATGCAGTAAAGACTTTCGCCTATAAATACCTCGCAAGATGTCGGGTCCTCTAGGTAAGGAATCGGGGAGAACCATCATCAAGCAAGCCCTAGCTACAAATACCTCGTCACACGTCGGCTCTCATAGCATTCTTTAAGAAACCACCGTCGCAGATTTTGTCAGTGAATTATACAGCAGAGCATATTCATGATGAGAGATTCGGGTGCCCAGACAGAGAAGGTACATACAGGAAAGGTACGTCTCTTTGCTTTCCATGAGGCTCGTTAGCGAGTGACTGCGTGACGTCTAATCTCCAAAACTCAGAGTATACCGAAGCGTGTTCCGCGGAACAGAAGGCTTTTATTGAGGAACGGAAAACGGGGTCAGTGATGTAATCAAGATCATGACCTCGCAACGGTGACTATATTTGCTAAGGAATTTGAAGTAAGACTGAATTCTTCATTCCACTAACGAGACCGATCTTGGTAATCCGAAACCATTGAGTCGACGTACATTCCAGAAATCAAAAGGACTCTGAACGTCAAGGGGCCAAACGGTGTTGGTGCCTTTGATGCCTGAGGCATGAATTAGCTCGAACCAAGGGGTGAGTAAGCTGGTAAACCTCTGGACGCATCTTGCCCTGACGGGCCACTCCCCCGCGCCAGACAGCGACCCTCCTACTATATTGACTTCGATTTGCATTATTCGTTTATTTGCTTGATACTGATTTCAACAAAGGATGGAGGAAACAATCGCCGAGCTACGACGTCAGCTGGAGGAAGAGAGACAGGCGCGAGAAGAAGAGAAGAAAGCGCGAGAAGAGGCAGAGCGCCGTGAAAGAGAAGAGAGACAGGCGCGAGAAGAAGAGAAGAGAGCGCGAGAAGAGGCAGAGCGCCGTGAAAGAGAAGAGAGAGAAGCGCGAGAAGAAGCAGAGCTGCGAGTGCAGCCCAACACACTGTTTCGCCTTCTTGATCATTGCCACAACTCTTTATCTCAAGCGATCCGAGTCGAGACGGATGCGACTCTCACAACTCAGGGTGAAGCGACCAACCCAGTGAACCGACTTTACCCTAAGCGCATAGTCCCTTGGCTTAACTTCCCTCAACTCCAAGAACAAGTCTGGAGGAAAATTGAACGCGCGGGCGCCTTCACCTCACACCCACTCTTCCCTTCTGATACCCAAATCGATTACGTTGTTACGAACATCCAGAACAGGCCTATCTATTCGGAAGCGTCTCTTCGGAACTTTGAGCGAGACACAGTGGATAACTTTGTCGAGAAAATCATTAAGGCGTTGCGAGAGGATGAACTCCTTCGACATGAGTTTGGAATCCAGGGCCGAGTCACCTTCTATGACCGCGCGAACCCATCAGAAAACTCACTGGAAAACAGCTTGGAGCAAATGAATGTTCAGGACGTGCGGACACCTCAACCACCAGCGAAAACCAGGAATGGAAGAGGCAGAGGAAGGGGGAAAGGACCGGCTCAGAAACAGAAGAGGGGAGGCACTACACGAAAACGCAATCGGCGCGCTGATCAGTTCTGCGTCCATGTTGTGGCTGATGAACGACAAATACCAGTGTATGCAGTGGAGTTCAAAGCGCCGCATAAGGTGACAATCCCCGAATTAGTGGCGGGTCTACACCAGATGGATCTGGCTCGCGATGTCATTGACCAGGAAGGCGACACGTTTGAGTTTTATGCCACCTACCTTGTCGCTGCGGTAGTCACTCAGATATTCTCATATATGATTGACAGTGGAGTTCAATACGGCTACATCTGCACGGGAGAAGCTTTTGTTTTTCTCCATATCCCGAAGGATGATCCCACAGTGGTTCAATATTTCATGTGTATCCCGAATCAGGACGTGCAGGCGGACGATGAATGGCGCCTCCACCGGACCGCCATCGGTCAGGTCCTTGCATTCACCCTTCAAGCGCTAGCCGCCGAAGCTCCGTCTCAAGAGTGGCATGATGCGGCACACGATAAGCTAAAGACCTGGGAGGTCGAATACCTGGACGTGTTGAGAAAAATCCCCGAGACTGTCCGTAAAGACCCGCGGGCCTCTAATTATCGGCCCTCGCACTGGAAACGAGACCGGAAAGTACACAACACCCGCTCTCGCGCTCAATGCCAACCGGGTGCGTCTACGCCGAAGAACTCGTCGACTGAAGGCAGTGGGAGTGATCAAGAATCGCACTCGCCATCCGTCGCAGCGGCTTCGCGTAGCCAATCGAGCCGTGGACAAGGCAAGCTTCAATCAGCTAGAGGAAGCGAAGGGACACAAGCCGGCCGGAACAATAAACAGACTTCTCAAAAAGATGGGCAATCTGCGCGACCATATTGCACTATTGCCTGCATCCGCGGTATGGTCAACCGAGATCCTCTGGATAAAGAATGCCCCAACTGGAAACTCCACGGTGGCCAGAGACACTCCGTGGGACCGCAGGAGCTCACACGTCGGCTTCACAATCAACTTTCCCGAAACCGAAATCATGGGTTTGAACAACTTCACGTCTGTGGTCGGACGGGTTACCTCATCAAAGCGACTCTTCTATCACACGGATACACTGTGATAATCAAGGCTACCACGGCGGACAAGCAGCATCTCATTAAAGCAGAGGCAGACAATTATCGTTCTCTCAAGAGCCTGCAGGGAAAACAGATTCCTGTCTGTCTTGGAACATTTACGCCACAAGTCTCATATTGGTACCATGGCGAATTAATGGCGCAGATGATGATACTGAGCTGGTCTGGAAAACGGCTTCAGCATGTCATTAACGATGAGAATTCCAGATTCTTTCATCAGGAGCGCGACAAAGCTCTGACCGTGCTCCGGTCGCATGGAGTTGTCCACGGCGACAGTGAGTGGCGCAATATGCTGTGGGATGACCTGGGTGTTCGTCTGTTTGTAATTGACCTGGAGGAAGTGAAATGGTTGAAGCGCCCTCGGGCTCTTGAACCAACCTTTGGCAACATGCGGCATGGCCATCGCGTCGGGGTGGGGAAAAGCAGAAAAAAGCTCCTGTCCAGCTCAATTGCTGTCTGCTCATGACGGCCCCCAGACCCATAGACCACTGCGTCAGTTGACGTTACGTCTACAGCTTCAGATCACTAGTGATACCTGGGGGGAGGGAGTACAACGTTAGATTCACAAATCGAACAAGGAAATCAAAGCCCTCGGGATAATGTCTGAAGACCTTAGGCGAGACAATGTCCTTTGGACTGGAGAGCTTGGGCATGCTTTGATCATCGACTTTCACCGCTCTACTTTGAAATGTCGACCGATTCTGCAGCAACCGGGGGCAGCAAAACGACGACTATGTCGAGCTGAGACAGAAGACGCAAAACTTCCTCGTGTGTTGTGAGAAGGAAATCCACTTTCTACCTGTTAAACTAGCGATCTTATTCTTGATACCCATACTTACGTCGTCATCCATTCATATCGAGGCGAAATGCGCTTCGATATATATGGTTCGACACCACCGAATCATGATGCGAGCCGGGCTTCCGAACTTGAGGCTTTTTCCAACAATATACCATTATAAAAGCATCGCAAAGGTTCATTTAATTTCACTACCTAGCTAAGACTGTCGTTTATAAACCGAAAATATCGCGGTTACGGTCCCGGGTTGTTGAAACCCCTGACAGCAGAATTATCCCCTTAAGTTTTCCACGCATGTCGTTAGATATACATTCCGTCAACAGGACCCTGCCTGCCAAACTCCTTGGAAAATTTTTTGTTCGATTTCGCGGCTAATTCCAAGTGTTCATAGCTGACTTGCGTTGTATCTGCCTCAGCGAGAGCGTGTGCAACTGCTGCGATATTTTTGATCTGATTGATGGCAGTCAGTAAGTAATATATACCCGATAGTATGGAACTCACCTCTCGTCCATTGAGAGCCAAAGATTCCAATCGCTGGATGTCCTCCTCCTTAATCACGGCAGAACCTTGGAGTGTTCGGGCCTTGGACAAAAAGGTTCTCCAGAGGCCTCTGCGGAAGTCTTTTGTCAAATCTTCATATTCAATGGTCATATGGATTCGGCTCAGAATTGCATCATCAAACTGGATACCCCGGTTTGAAGTCAAGAAAAGCAATCCCTGGTAATACTCTAGCTTGCGGAGAAAAACAGTGACCAGACGATTATGGCTATCATGGAGCTCGGTGCGACTTGCCATGAACGCGTCGGCTTCATCCAAAAGAAGAATAGCGTTAAAATGCTTCGCGATTTGGAAAATAGTTTCAAGTTGTGATTCAAGTGCGTGGGAGTCCCCATGATCGACAACAAGCTCACCTGCAGATATCTGAGAAAGTCAGCTAGGCCAATATGCACGCAATGAATTGTTGATACCGAGTAGAGAGGGAGTTTGAAATATTCCGAGGTTGCCTCGACGGTGAAAGTCTTCCCGACGCCTGGCGGACCACTAGCACGTGTCAGCTGAAGACTATGCAGGGCAGATACTATTCACCGACATACTTTAGCAATATATTGAGCCCTTGACCTTTACCGTCAATCACGTCGTCAAACGGTACCGTCGGTATCAGACCTAGGCGGGTTTTCGTCAATGACAAGAGGAGTGTCTTGGTCTCGGAGGCTATCTGTAAGCAATCGAAAGATTCCGGTGACCAATCCACGTCCCTAAGAGCACTGACTGCGCACTCCACTGGGATCACATTAGCCGGAAACCAAACCATCGTCAGTCGTGTCACATACAGAACATTTTCTCCTTGAAACTGAAACAGCAAAGTGTTGGGCAGGAGACCAGTAAATCCGCCTCGCTCAGCTTTTGTGCATCCACACCGTCTCCTCGCATTTTTTCCTTCTCTCGCTCACGGTCCTCCATGAGCATTGCACCAATGTCAATGACTGAAATTCCATCCTTATCCTTGACCCCAATGTCGCGGAGTGACGGTCGGGTGTAATTCGGCTGCATTTTATGGAAAAATGCGGCATCTACTGCCACTCGGCTGTCAATGTTGACTTTGAAAACCTTGCCCTTATTCATAAAGAATGCGCTGCCTTTGCAGTGCCGAAAATGTGAGCCGGCCAAATTCCGGAACTTTTGACCCCTCTCGACCAAATCTTTCCAGACTTGCTTGTGACTTGGATGGTGGCAGAGAGGGAAGGCCTCAAGGCTCTCGATCGGCTTTGATCCTCGGAACTTGGCCACTCGCAGAAAAATGCCGGCCTCGCCGAACTTCACTCCGTTATAATCAAGGAATCGGCACTCGAGATTTAACCACGTCTCGTCATTGTGTGTCACCTCTTCGCCCGCATCGAATACGACACATCGCGGCTCTTTTGTGCCGATGCATGTGGTATAAACATGGCAACCAGGCTTGAAAAGCGCCCAAAGAAGGTCATATGTAATATGGCCGTGCTGCAACATTGATTCGAGACGCTGCAAAGTAGAATCATATGCGCGCTTGAGGTGGTCAATGAGCAGGTGGAGATGCTTCGCATGTGAGGAGTCATGGTCAGAACTGTTGTCTATGTTCTGCGCACTTATGTCGAGCTCTGGAAGGAAATGGAAAAGGGCATTTTGCTCGATCTAAATCCACGTCAGCGTTTTCTTCGAGATTCTACTCAGTCTCAATTACCGAAGGCTTGTCCTCCATGAGGCTAATAGCTTTGATATCTTGCAGCACCACACGCAGGGTGTCGCAGAGGCCTTCCGATTTGATGTCTATGTAGGGCGTCACCTCCGCGGAATTCCGTTCTAATCAGGTGATTAGCATTGGTTCAGTCCTCTGCGCAAAGTCATTTACGTACCAACACGTTCACGAACAATGAATGCGTATTCAGCATAGTCGTCCAGACCACTGCGGGTCTCCACCAGCTCTGTTATCTTGTATTTACAAGCTTCTTTGTCCCAGCTAAACCCATATCAGCCAGTTTCTAAAAGGAATAGGAAGGGGAGCTGGTGGCTCATACGTTTCCATGACCGTCTTGAATTGGGGTGTGGAGGCCCACTTTTCAAATGATTTGAAATCGTCCGGAGTAGTACAGATCGGACTGTCGAGATCAATTCCATCTCCTACCTGAATGCCCTCCTCCTGTTTATTGTTTGTTGGACAAGACTGAGCAGGCTTTGTTGCCACAGACAGTTCAGCTGAAGTACATTCATCGCGGGTGAGATTCACCATCAACTGCTTCAATTGAACCACGTCGAGACCTGGTGGGGACTGGTTCTGGGAGACAGGAGTGTTTGGGGGTTCTTGGTCGGTAAGACCGAGCAGCGCATTTTCAAGAAAAACGCCAAAGAGATGTATCAGATCCTTCAAGGTTGCAGGAGGCATATTCGACTCCTTCGCTGGGCTATCGGGTGGTGTCAAGCCTTGGTGGTGGGAAGAGGTCTTCTGTTCCATGTTGTGTAATTTGAACGACTGAGAAATATCGGCGCGAGGTGGGAAGCTGGTATGAAGTGGCCCAAGGGACTGGAATATCAATGGTGAAGGTAAAGGTCAATAAGACACTGAGGAATTGCTCCTTATATGTTAGTTAATCCGGACTTTGTGTTTCTCAATATCATACTCACAGCTCAGGATGCTACTTCCCCTCACGTCCGTCACCCTCTTTCAATCTCGGATCGCTTCATCCTGTGGCAGAGATACATGGTACGAGCGTATGAAATTGGATGCATGAGAGGGTGACAAATGAGTGAAAGATTGAGTGGAAGATTGAGTGGAAGATTGAGTGGAAGATTGAGTGGAAGATTGAGTGGAAGATTGAGTGGAAGATTGAGTGGAAGATTGAGTGGAAGATTGAGTGGAAATTGAGTGGAAGATTGAGTGGAAGATTGAGTGGAAGATTGAGTGGAAGATTGAGTGGAAGATCGTCCAGCTTAGAAGGCTAAGCGAAGCAAATTGTCAAGTTGAATGAAAGTGGCCAAGAAACAGATGGGAAGCGGACCGATAGTACCACAGACCTGTAAGTTGGCATTGGTTTACAGCGCTCACTAATATCGAACTCAGATCACCGATGGGCGGGCATGATCTCGGATAAACATACGGAATAATGTAATCCCGCTGCCCCTCCTTCCCCCGTCGCCGCAATGATTTATCGTCGGGCAGCAACTATTCGGATATATCAATCACTCTCAAGTATGTCAGCTTTTGGTATCCCAGAACGTGAGTAAAATTTTCCGAAATCAAAGGTCGTGTGCATGTTTTTTTTGTCTAACCAGACACCTTGTCCCTGCCAGAATAAATCGAACCCTCCGTCTTGAATAGTCAGCAGATTGCTCTAGCGTTTCTAACGCAGCAATCCCTCAAGCTAACCACTGTCAAAGAGAGTTCTCGTTCTCGGTGGTTTTTGACACACCAAATATCGTTCAGCAGAGCAACGAGTCTCCCCTCACGGTCTGGGTCGCTACAGACCTCAGAATACGCGCTTCTTGATTATGTGCTCGGCCGCTTGATAATTTGAAATGTCAACCAATGTGTGTTGCTTCCATTTAATTTAATATTGACATGTCTAATACGGGAAACCTTTAGGTCGGAGATGCGGCTCTCAGAGGCGAAAAGGAATATATCCGAGGGTATATATTTGATGGAGTGGATTATGAGAGGTATATCATTGGCAAGGGCAGCCTCATCATGATTATTCCTCCATCGTTCAGTGAGGAGGAGCCGCAAACACACAGGGACGTGGAAACAGAGACCAAAATTCCAGTTCCTCCGAGGCACGAGGTCAAGGTACTAGATGCCCTAGTAATGATGACCACGTAGGTTTCAGTTTCAGCTTTTCGAGAAACTCCATACCTGCCCTCTGCCCAACCAAAAGAGTGATGGATATATCTGCATTTGTATCCTCGGGTATAATCGTCGTGAAACAATTGGTTGTCTCTTCTCCTGCCGCTCTTTCCATCTTCCATTGTTGGCTGGTTTCCATCGCTTTGTACATCAGTTCTCCGAGTTGCGGAATGAGGTCCACTGATGCTTCCGAAAACGTGAACGCCGGTTCTAGAATGCATTTAGCTTTCGAATTGAATGTCTGTTTTCTTGCTCACGTCTTCCATTGACCAATCCAGTTGACCGAGACCCCGCCAGTGTGGCTGCTTGTTCGTATGTATCAAATACTGTGTTGCCACTTGGTGTTTTTTCTGTTGGGGTTCCTGGTTGCTGAAAATCCTCTGAGCCGGGACTCACGGCAATTAGCTTGGATTTTTTGTTTTGAACCAACGACACTCACGCTGTGTGGTCTCTGGGGCATTACATTCAACAGCAGCAAGCTCTCGTATAACAGTCCCAGAAAGCCGCGTATCAGTCTTCAAGATGGCCCCAAGTCGATCGCGGTTTTGCTGATTCATATTAGCGACAATGACTTGCCCCAGGGCAACGGCGCACAAGAGAACTGCATGAGCACCGCAATCTTTCATCAGGCTGTGTAAAAATAACTGATATTTTTGGCGCTTCCAGCTATTGGTTTCTGTTTTTAAGATCGTAAGAGCAGCCCGAAGGCTATTTTTTTCACTCTTGGTAAGGTGCTTTCTCAGGGATAGACTCTCAGCTTTGTTAATGAGCCGTTTCAAAGCGTCCGTCGCACTGTACGGCTTTTGCGGTCTGGCATATCGCTTTTCCCCCATGTTGAGAAAGCATAAGAAATCGTGGAGGAGAGGTGGAGGCGAGGTGGAGGCGAGGTGGAAGAGAGGTGGAAGAGAGGTGGAAGAGAGGTGGAAGAGAGGTGGAAGAGAGGTGGAAGAGAGGTGGAAGAGAGGTGGAAGAGAGGTGGAAGAGAGGTGGAAGAGAGGTGGAAGAGGGGTGGAAGAGAGAAGCAAAATGCAGCCCCAAAACATCAGACTGCCGTGACAAGGATCATTAATCAGGAGGCTTTCTATTGGCTATTTTGTCAAATGTACACGGCCTGCTTCCCTACATCATATAATTGGTCATGACGAGACAGCTACGGCATTGCGTCGCTTCAGGAGGACAGTACACCCGCAGTATTTGCTACACTGATGACTGACTTGTCGCCCACATAACTGGGGCAGTCGTCCAGAATTTGCTTGAAAAGAAAGACCATGCAGCCGCACATAAGCAATTCCACGAGTACTGGAGTATGTTTCATATTCACCTCTCAGCCACATCGGAAATGACGGCTTGTAGAGTCACAATTAGACCTACTCCATGATCAACGGAACCTCTGGCCCACAATGGGCCGCCACGGAGCTATGGTCCACTTAATGGTAAGGCGATGACAGTCAAGCTATATATGGTAAAGTATTCTTACTGTTCTGTCAATGCGTGACTTGCGCTGCGTTGAAGCAAATATCATATATATTGGTGATCAGCCTTTTCCCCCTGAACAAATTAACTGTCTGTGCTTCTATCATTCGATATCAAATGGTTAGAAAAAATTAGTGGTACCTAGCAGGTGGGAGAGCTGAAGGTGGAATATGGGAGATCCGGAGGATTCGGGAAAAACTGGGAAACCTAGATACTCAGGTACACTAATCACTGAACCCCAGTTCGCCACGACAAGAGAGAAGTCCAGGCGCTACTTTAAGCCTGGACCCTAGACCGCTCAGCCGCTCGTATTTTATCACGCTGGGGGCGGCTTCAGCGCAGACATCTTGATAACAGGATCACGCTAATGCAGTAGTGGTCACCTCCTCGCTCTGAGGATTTACCTTACTGCAGCCAATAACCAGCAACTCTGGATATAGTGCCGCACTGAAAGCGCCTTTGGTCGTGATATTCGCGTCTCCTTGACAGGGTTCCCCGCTCGGTTTAACGTTGCTGGCAAGTCAAGCTCAAAAGTGCTCCTTTGATACATTATCCAGAAAACACAGAGAGGAGGGCGGATTTGCTTAAGAAGCCTGCTTGTCCCATTGAACCTCTCGCTCAACCACTGCCTTAGTGACCGATCCATTGCATCGCTGCCTTCCAAGTCAGATCTTTGATATTTGCTTTTTACGTGGGTACTCATTACGCAAGAGGCTCCCCTAATCTCCACGCATCCATGGCTAACGATAAATAGATCCACTGCTGTTAAAATGGCAACCTCCACCCCGAGCGAATTGGTCAACCAGCTCAACTGTGGCCACTGTGGTACGCATAATATGACCGGTATATCGACCTGCACCAACTGTGGCAAGCCCGTCGCAACGACTGCGTAACAATGGCAAATTTATGTTTGCTTTGAAACACTGGGACCTGCGTACCAAGAGTCTTTAAGCTCCCCCCTTACCTGGTCGTCATTTAATGACTAACTGATGTTATAGGGCTGCCCTTGGCTGTTGCTTATTCCTTGATAAGATACATGCTACTCTACATACGGAATACTTGGGTTCTAACTTCGGGAATTTCCTGCTGTAAGCCGTGTGTGCAATGTTTAGCGTTATCTGACTTATCTCATAAATACAAATGGAAAGTGGTTCACGTTCCAGATCATCTCGCGATAGCCTTATTTACATTCTCTATTTGTCTAGAGTTTTACCTGTTATTTATGCAGGCGAAGGGGACATAGACACGGACATGAAAGTAAGGGCAATGTCAATTATTCAGGACAGCGTATTTTGAGAGAAATGGAGTCTAAACTTGACACACCATTGTCTACTAGCTGTCCTGAAACTTCCACCATGCATCCACAACATCGCGGTAGCCCATCTTTTCCAGATGCTGCGCAACTCTACGGCGCCAGTCCTTTTTGGAGTCCTCATCCCCATAGTTGAAATCCATTCCGGCCGAGAGTCGAAATTTTGTTCTGATCCATTCGATAGGAACGTAGCCAGCAAGCTCCCAATCGATGATACCCAGCGAGCCTGTCAAGGTATTGACAAGAAGATTCGTAGGCCCGAGATCACAATGATAGAAGGCAAGATTGGAGACATCCATAGACATCTCGGTACAATTCTTCAGAAGCTGCTGTGGAGAAAGGGCATCAGCCATCTTGTTGTTGCCTTTGACAAGATAACGCTCTAACAGCTGATGTCCATCCACACCACCAATGATGTCGCCCTTCCATGCCGTTAATTGCTTGCAAACATCTGCAACCTTGCCGATATAATACTGGCGAAGAGTCTCGTCCATGTTGGGCCAAGCTTCCTCAAGGAGCTGGCCGGGAATCCTCGAGACAACGAGGAAATATCGTAGCTCGGTCTCAAAATGATGGTATACCTCTGGGAATTCAAAACCCTGGGGCTGTCGGTCTTTGAGAAACTGTAGGGTAACATGCTCTCTGGTCACATGGGAATAGTCCATGTGATGCGCTTTGATGAAGGCTTCGCCTACCCGCCAAACGGCCGCTTGATTGTCGACTGCGTGGACTCTGGAGATATAAGAGGAACCTTCTGTGAGGGGCTTGGAATTTGGAAGAGGCTCAGGTGCAGTGGAGAGGGCGAAATGGCCCCCATTGCTGTCGCTCCAGCATGCTCGGTCGGTTGGAATGATGACCGGGGGTGGCGACGACGAATGAGTAAGAAGAAGCGTGTTCGAGATTAGCCAGGAGCCTTTATCGACTTCCCGTATCGATTCATTCAGGTGCGGCTGAGGCAAGTTAATCAATGGCATGTTGGTTGATCTTGAAGGTTCAAGGAGTTGGGTAAACAAAAATGCCAGGCGCCAATCTCAGGTGCTTTATAGTAGCCGTTGCAAGCGGTGAGCGGGGCCCCCTGTAACTATATATATATCCTGGTGTCACCCTCACAATATTTGTATGCCAAATACACCTGTATCCGGGACACCCTTTCTGTCCCCACACATATACTTTAGCACTATTGCCTAGTCTACCAAGGATTTCATGCTGTAATTGCGCTCGAGCTCAAATGCCTTGTTTTGAAGCAAAGATCAAGCCTGATATATTCAAAAGTGAGACCACGCTCTTCATTCCAGGGTACTACAAGTCGTCCGGAAGCAGTGATAATACATCCCGGGAGCAAGCAAATCGTGCCTGGGAGCTTCACTCTAGGCCCAAGGATCCAGCCAAACCAGTGGGGCTGGTGACATTACTCCTAGAGCGGGGCCCTTGAACCTAATCATTTTTCGAGAAAATATTATAGCGGGGAGCCGTGTTTAGTCAGCTGACAATAGCCTGCTGGATCCTGTCCAACCAGCCGATGGCCGACAACAACTCTCACCTGGCGATGATGACCATATGAATGGTGTTTGATCGCTCTTTCTCGCCCTACAGCTCTATAATCTGCTGGAACATAGGGCGGCTCTGGCAGCAATACTGGTCCTGGAACCCCACGTAAAGTTCCCACAAGCAACCACAGGTCCTCCGGGAATCGAGTGGAGTGTTCTAGGATCAGTATCTCTAGATAGGGTTTAAATAAGTAACGTTGGCGGCTCCGCGGCTTCACTTTTTCCTTGTCTCCTTTTCTGATAGTCTTCCAACGCCTTAATTTGATAGGAGCAACTACCACGAGACAAAGTCCGTTGGGATATGATGTCTCGTCCGAGCAAAGCTAATTTGAAGAAGTACAATTAGTCAACATGACAGCATGGCCGCTCACCACGAAGGGCACGAATATAGAAATATTTAGTAGACAGAGTTCGATCCTGTCAATTGGATGCCCTCAATAGCACCAAGAACTACATCGGTCATGGTTTGGCTATACAGTCCCATGCTGTCGATTTTTGAGACCCATTCCGCTGTCACCTTCAGCACCATCACAGCTTCTCAGAATCAACCAAAATCCGCATACGTGAAATCCAGCACTGCGCTACCTAGTAAGGTCAGATGTTTTTGTCACTGGTAGGGAGACGAGAAGAAGTCAATATCAGTAACTGAGTTACTTTGACAGTGTCGTTGAGATGAAATTATTGGGACCGCCTTTCGCACGATGACTGCAGTATTTTCACCATTAGCCAATGTCACTGCGTGCTGGCCCTACATATGCATAGTGGAAGAGGACTGGATAGACCGATGGCGACAATTGGGTGCTAATGGACCCGACTCCACACGCCGCGACTCGTTCGGCCCACTCTTGAGGTTGCGCCCAGGCTGCGGGTTCTAGGCTACCAGGCTCAAGTATGAGCCTAAGACGATCATCAGTGCGGGGCTTCTGTCATTGAACAGTTACAAGAGCGCGCAGCACCTGTACTCACATGAGTTAAAAAAAATCACCAATCAAATACTTGAATAAAGCAATTCTAGAAAAAGAGGCATAGAGCAAATCAGACACTTGATGTACGAGCGCATCGCATTGAGTCAGCACCCAGTGGGAAAGTAGTTGACTCCGCATCGCTCAGAAAATGTTCCCCCAGAACCGGACGTCCTCTTCATGGCACATGTTGTGCAGAGGCCAAATAATACCGATTTCACGGACTGAAAGCAAGGCAACAGAGATTCGGCCACATTACCGACCGAGAGGAAAAAGGTGGGACGATTGGGTTGTACGGTGAGGCCGGATTGACCAGCGAAAGTTCAGAAGCGCAGCGACGAGTGCAAGGAAGGGATGGAGAGACAGGGCGAGCCGAGACTTTCGCGTGCGGTGTTTACGCTATTGGTCAGTATCACCGCAAAAACTCGTCGTCTGGGTCCAGGGAGACCGGAGAGACCGACGATGACGACAACTGGGCACCACAGGATTCGCGACAAGGCGACGGACAGTGGTTCTGCAACTTCAGGGGCTGTGCAAATGTAACCTCAGGTGGAGCGGGGCATGCGGCATCGAAGATAGTATGCCGGAATTTTGCAGATGCGATGGAGGCCGGTGGAATGAGTGACGAACGAGGCTCACTGGCAGAGGAAAACCTAGATAGCTTCGTAACATGGTAGACAGTCATTCCTTTGGGGAAGGAGTAGGAGTATCGAACTAAGCCACACGATGCCGCTGCGGGTTGGATCATTCCAGTGGTTCTGCTCCTGTGCAATTACCATTCCAGCCTGAGGAGCGAGAACAAGCTGGGGCTCGGATCGAGCGGCATCTCCAATAAAATGAAAGGGGCAGTGCGTTGGGCTGCAACAAGGCGCAATGGTCGGTGGGGGCGAGAGGGAAAGAAAGGGGGCGGCGATGAGTGCAAGATAGAGTAGTTCCAGGGAGGGGAAGAAGGGGAAGAGAGGCCGAAAGAGCGAGGTCTGGTCTTTTATGTCGAGGCGACGTTGGGAGAGGTTACAAAACAGCGTATTAGGGCGCTAAACCTAAAAAGGCAAAACTAACCGGATCGAGTAATTCACAGGTCCGCCGTTTACAAGATACATGGCTCACCAAGAATTCGATCAAGCTTCCTAATAAATCTGGGCCCCATTGTGGCATTAGACAGACAAAGGGGACTAGATAAAGTATTCAGTCTAACTATCAACATAAAAGTCATTAAACGCAGTCGAACTTTGCCTAGAATCCGAGGACTCTTAGCGCTCTGTTAAAAGTCCAGTCATGGTGATGCTGGTGTGAATTTGGTGGTATTTATGTGTGTTGATTATACCTCACATTTAAATTCTCGCTGGGATAAACGTGCCAAAAGATATATATTGAATCAAAACTTTTTTTTTTACATTCGTTGAACGACTCATGAACTCCCACGGTAGTTCGAAAGTTGACTCCGGTCAACGATGGTTCGAGGACCCGCTCGTACGACCGTCGCCTGACGCTTCCGCAATCCAGAGTCTTGACGGAGGGAACACACCACACAATTCAAACAACCAACATTGAAGCGAGGTTCGGAACATACAATCCATGATGCATAGTGATGAAAATGTCGACGCTTTTTGGCACAGTTAAAAAATGAATACTGTAGCTTTCATTGCCTCAATATAGAAGACCAAATGTTCAACAATGCGCCAACATTTTTAACTGACTCAACATCACTGATTTTCAACATGACCAGCATTTTTACTCGGCGGGAATCTCAAATAGCCCTGAAAATGTCGCTGCAGATGGTTGCGGTATTAGAACCTGCCTCACTTAGGATAGGCATCGTGTCCTTCAACGTTTGCTTCCCAGCAGAGCACTTGCGACTGGAGCTGAGGAGCCTATAAATACGTCTTCCTCCCCCCAGCAACTGGTTCTGCAATACTTTTCCTTGGCTTCCAGAGTCGAGCAAGCCTTCCTTTTGAAGCACCAGATAAGTTCTTCCCTCTGACTATACTGAAATTTCAATGCACTGACATCTATGGTTACGTTGTGGACCGCCACGGGAGTGCGAATGAGAATGTGATTCCCACCAAGTCCACTTGCTACAGTACTGTACCCATGCCAGCCCGCCAACCAAGGTCATGGGCCAAGAACATGATGCATAAATTCTAGACGTTCGTCGCCTACGATAAGGTGAGTTGAATATCGCGCCGCTGGCCGCGTCAAGTCCGATGCCTTGTGCCAAGTTTGCGCCACAGACACCAAAATCACTGACAGTAGCATGCCATTGTAGCAGCCCATAACCAACTGCGGAAACTCTTGTCACGAGAAAAGCTATTCCCGCCAAGTCAGATATCACTGCGGGCCGACGCGCTCCATCGCGTCTCCACCTCAACCGCGATCGCACACTGAACGACGGTGTGTCTCTACAAGGAGTCCTCCAATACGACTGTACAATCATAAAACAGACAGGTTTGTCGCCCGCGTTTTCCGTCTTGAAAGCCTGCCCTACACACCCAGTGTGGCTTTCCCAAACAAACTGATTGGATACAACGCCGCATATTGATGACAGCGTTGCACAAGAGACATGGGTATGACGACGATCCTGACTGACCGACTGTCTGAAGCATACCGTCGATCACCAGGGACGTCTTCATCAACAACGTAAAGTACATTGCCTCGTCCAACTGAATCAACACTGGCTGACTCTGATCTGATTACAGGCAACCCTCGGATTCCCATGAGTCGAATGCGAAGCGAGGAAATTGCGTGTCTGTTCGGCCTTGTTGGTACTATTGCATGGCCTGTGCCTTCTCCAAGACTATTGCTAGCTTCAACGGGTCGCCACCTCGACCTTCGAGTCGATTAATCCATCGATCAGTTGGTATGCCTATCTGACCTAGAACCGAAAAAGTGCATAGCAGTCTGTCTCTTGGAATTTGAAGACCTACAGGGATAGCCGATAGCCTTGTGGCGTGGGTATTTGTTCCGCCTGATGGTATGGATGTCTACTGCAGTAGATGCTGTCTCCATACCCCGACTGAACTGCGTGATCGAGACGAGGTGATACCACGACCTGAAGATTATGCAGGACAAATATTTGCACATCCAGCGAGGCATACGGTGATCACCTCAACCTTGACGGGCCCTACAAATCGTCCATGAAGCTTGTACCCCAATGCGCCAGCTGAAAATTCAAGGCATACTGTACGAGCGTGGAGCCCAAATGCGGGTTCGGTCAAGCTCCGTCGACGCATGCACATCGACATCCGACCCTCAAGTTCGGGAGGTAGACTATATGACTGCTCATCTCGTTCAGAAAGCTCAGAATTTGCTGTGTAGCGGCCGTGAAATTCACAACGCTGTGGGGACAGACCCCGTTCTTTGTGAGAGGCGTTGGAGCGAATATTCTGGTTCAGCTTTAACGCGCCCCCAAGGCGACGGGCAAGACTTCTATCCCAGCGGTTTGATCGTCCCATCTCTCAAACCGGTCCCTCATTGGTTAATCTTATCCGTTTACTGTCGAGATTCCGGTCTTATCTCATGTCATCGATTTGCACGGAGCACATGTTCGCTGGCCGTTATGCACCTCTTAGTGTCAGTCGAGATCCCGTCGTTCACTGTGTCATGTGATCCTGGTGCATGTCAGGCGTTGACGCTTTTCCATCTCTTGTATGATGCAGGTAATTATTATTGCCTTCCTCCCCCGGTACGACGAGCTGTCGTTGATACAGGACGCTTTGAGTCATTTCAAGGCTCTCTTCTGTGGTGACCACTACGGGATACTCAGATCCTGTATGCCAATGCTTCCTGCGCCATGAAACTGAAGAACCAGGCGTGAAATGGTGGTAGATCTACCCTGTCAAAGAAGCTGATGATGTCAGACATAGCTCCCAGCCCGTCCGAAGAAACTATTAGGCTGCTCCAATGCTTGTGGTATCTCATTCTGCCGATTAGTTTGCGCTGGGTTTGCTGTCGGGAGCAAAGCATCGAGCAGGACGCGCAGCGGATACGTCCAATCTCGTCTGTGCTATATTGTCAGTGCCGTTTTCACTGATGAGCTATAGCCTATGATCTTTGTTTACTAGGCGTCTTGATTGGATTTGTCGGCAACAAAACCAAAGATAAGGACTGTTTGGGACTAGGAACAAGGCCGGCTGTGCCTCCCATGGTTGACAAGGCAGAACGCTTTGCTGGTGCTGAAAGTGAGATTGAGCCCACAGTTCTGCAGAAGTGTACAGTAAATCTGAACGGTCCATGTGGAAATCTACCCCCTGAGTCAGCGCATCTTGCCCGTCGCCTTGGGGGGCACCCCCGGCAATTGGAAATTGCCTCGCCGACCCCCATAAAGGGGGTCTCTGGGGGACCCCGCCCCCCGGCTCGAGGGCGCTTTGGAACGGAATCAGAGCATGCGCTTGTGCATTTCAGGTAGGACAAGGCCTTTCTGTACACCAAAATCAAACCTACATGACATACAGACGTGGTTCGTACAAATTAAACGGTTAGGGACCCGCATCCTCGCAGCGGCGTGGGGACACTTCTGGCATACAAAGCGAGGTTCCCAGTGGCCGACAGCGTTGATATGCTGAGTGGAAGCATTCGCACTGCGAAACTTGTGGTCGTGGCAGGGAACGCCGAGAGCCCAATGGTCCAAGGTGTTCGCATGCTGGTTCCATGCCCTTTGAGATCGGAATGTTACTGGACGGGTCTCACACTCAATCCAATGATCGTAGTGGGTCATGTGATCATCACACTCGCCTTGATGATAGAAGTAATTATCGCAACTCAGGCACTCGTACATTGTGGGCTGACGACACTAAAAATTGACGTAAGTTTCAACTAGCTTCCGAGGCAGGATGCTGACTTTAATATTAGAGACTAGGGAATTTGAAGAGAAGCGGATAGAGGAAAGCGACTTTCACATTAAATGTAGGTATTTTATCATAAGGTATTTAAGGCGACCACAATGGCCATGTGGAGGAACGGACCTCACTCAGCGAGAGAAGATCGCATAATCATCTTGAATTGAATCCAGAAATGGCATTTCGAGACATTTGACACGGCCGTAGACTTTAGAGTTACGATTGTGAGCGTACCATATATTGCGTGAAGATGGGAACTGACATATTCGATCGTCTCTGTCAATCTAGATGAAGGCTGCGTTCAGGTAGGATCAAAAGGATCAGGATTGCCTCACGGAGCCGAGGCAATTGGAATCATCATGATATGGTGACATGGTAAGAAGCCGCGCTGCCTGCATGTGCGTTGATCACCAGTCCCTTCACCGCCCGAACACTGCACATTTCACCACACCGACATCAACATCAACACGTCAACACGTCAACACGTCAACACGTCAACACACAAGCTCAAAATCTCTACTTTCACTTCACACTGGGATAACAAACATCCTACCGAAACAGCATCGCAACACAATATCGCTATGTGTTCTACACCCAAATCATGCGATTTTACGTTGCAGCAAACGGATCATCGACTGCGGAAAGGCATACAGAGTGGGAATACGGGTCGCTAAGGAGGAATCCCAGCTTAGATTGAGCTGGTGATTGATTGTCTATGCTAAGGTGCTTTGCAACACGATACAGATTATGAATATGTTGGGCAGGTCTTGGCTTCATCGAATGCTGTTGCAAATTCGAATACTAGTCTCTGACACCACGAAGAGGTGCCTGCACATTGTCAGAGGATCAGGACTGGCACCGCGGCGCCACGGGACGCCTAAATAAGCACAAATTTGATAACGCAGGGCTCAAG